TGCTGACGGGGTGTGAGTGTATAGGCTGTCCATGTTGGAGAGTCGAAGACTGGTAAGAGCGGATTAACGAATCGCCTTCAGGCATGGGAATGGCCAGTGTTACGAGAGATGATGGCCTACTCCAGTTTGTCTTGGTGCCTGCATTGGATGGATTGATCGGAGCGGACGAACGCCTCGATCCTGCCCAACGTGCTTCAGGGGGGTGTGAACCTTGCCCCTTTTGCGCAGTCTCGACTCTTGGAGCTACGTTTGGTATTATGCCGTGGGAAGGTTTTCATTGTTGGCGATTCGGGGCCATATCACAATGATATTTCATCTTTCTTTTCTATATCCACAGCCGCCAGGACTGCCGAAGGCGCCAGCCTTGCGCGTTGTCGTTCCCAAGGCTTCGTTTCTCAGGCCGTTGAAAGGAGATGGATGGCCCTTTTCCTCAGACGGGTGTGCAACGAATGGCTGATACACACAGGGTGTTCGCGCTAACGCCGGCCAGATACGAGTAGTCAAGTCCAGCGGATCTGAGGCTCCGCCTTGCCGGAGACTCGCAGGACGACGGTTGGACGAGCTTGCTGCTAGCCTCTGCTGCTACGGGGGACGGGGGGGCCGGAACAACCACGACAAGCAAGGGATTCCTTGCTTCGACATCAACCGGCCAGCGTCTGACCAGAATGGACTCGGGCGGTGGAGATGGCGAGGCTTGTTGGAGGATGAAGTCTTTGCGGAGCAGATGCTGCTCCATGGGCCACTGATACCGAGAGAGATAATGGATCACTAGGTGAGTGCTTGTACGGTTTGACGCCCGGCCTGCCAGCATGCTTGGACGGCGGTGGCCAGCGCATCAACTGCTCTCATGCAAGTGAGAGGGCGGCGAGAGACGGCCCAAGGTCGATGATGACCTTTAACGACTGAAAGGAGACAAGACGTACGGAGGCATCGTCGGTTTTGGAATCGCCAAGACGGGGATGATACTGCAAGATGCTCCATCCGTCATCCCCTTTCCCTTGTTTAGGCTTTGCAAGTGAGTTGGCAGGCAACGGTCAAGACGGCATGCTGTACCGTTCCCAGCTAGCCTTGCCAGCGAAGCAGTCCGTCATCCATATTCGCATGCTTGCCATTAGCTCGAGTCCCCCGGCCTCTGGAGATCAGCCGCATTCTTGTCGAGAGACTACGGTAGCCGAGGCGAAGCGACGATGGAAGTCGATGACCTGGTGGGAGCCCGATGAGAAGCCGGAGAATTGAAGCCCAATGAGAACGACCAGGGTCCGGATTGACGAGGGGCAGCATTGGGACCTTGGCTACGGATATACGAAGCAATACGCGCACACACAGCTGGATCATGGGCAGATCGTTTCGCACTTACTACGTTGCCTGATCTGTGGCTGAGACGAGCTTCTACAGAGCGAGTTTTCTGTCGTCGGATCATTTAACCCACCGAGCCGTCACGTGTGCAATGATATCAGGGCACCGATACGTGAGAAGTTTCATGAAGAGGAACCGACAACGAGGCAGCAGGTGGACGGCGAATGCATACAGGGCAGCGGGCACGTGTGCGCGGCATGGCCTTGCAGGGCGCATAAGTGGCATGTGTGTGATGCTACTGTAACTTACTCCGTCAGTCGAGGCGCTAATACGAAGCGGACTGACAGAGGCTGCAAATAAACGGAGGCTCAACATGGCATGTCACGGCATGGGGGCCAGAGGCGCTACCTGATGCGGTCGGAGAGGGTGCGGACTATGACGAGGGCTGGGAATGGCTGCATGGGAAGTCGAGCTACTGCTTAATTGAGGCTCAAAGAAACGCCGTCTTTGGCAGACGTGTGATCCTTCTTCGGTCTTCGGCTGTTGGCTGTATGACCACGTCATGGGAGGGGGCTGGAGGGAAACCGGGGCGGCGCGGAGATGCGGACGATGGAGACGGAGTACGGAGACGGAAGAAGTTGTCGTGAGAGTTGCTCTGGTCTGGCTTCTTGTTATTCTATGCTTTATGGCATCATTTGGGATGGGCTTAATGAAAGTGCTGACCTTGCACATAGGAGTTCTCTGGCTCGGCGAGAACAGCGGCTTTGTGACAAAGCCAGACCGATGCTGGTTCTCTTACAGCAAGCCACGATTGTTTGTATGTACGGCTGGGACTGTCGACTTACACGGGGATCCATCCAACAGCTACAGTAGTGCTCGGCGATGACGGCGCCAAATGTGATGGCGTCGGTTTGCAGGGATCTTGCTGTACCGTACCCTGTTCGTCACAGACGGAGCCTGCAGTCGAATGTACTTGTCCTTACAAGTTGGCAGGCTGCGACTTCACTGCTGCCACGAGGATGGAGGATATGCTACCTGTTGTTCTCTCTTTTACAGGGATTGTTGGCTTCCGATTCGGACGTATGGCGAGAGAAAAGCCATGTAAGCGGCCGGTTGATGATGAGATGTGAGGATGACGCCTCTTCCGCTTGGCTTCGACAACAGAGGGCAGCTCAAAGTAGGTTGCTCTCTCCTCCTACTTTCGATGTCATCACAGACTGTGAGCCAGCTCGGCCGTCTGGACCGCATATTGCTTTTCAAGCCTCTGAAGAAGCAACTTCGTGATGCAACCTGGACTGTGAGACCACGTCCTCGCTAGGTACTTCATCGAGTGCGATGCCCCCGCGTACCGGTACGTTTCCTGAGTACCTCCGTCCAGCTAACCGCCAGACGATGCGCTAAACGGGCACAAACGGCTCTAAACGGAGCACAGCCGCACTATCGCGGACCCCACTGATCGATGCTGGGTACCCCCGGCCATCGCAGGCGCGTAGCATGTCAGGTAGCGGGTACATCAAGGCGGGCTTGATCTCAGGTACCAGTATCGTGCCTCTTTGTATTTCGCACGGTATTCTGGCACTGTATTGACGCAATCATCTCCGCACTCCCAACCCATCAGTCAGCTGCAGGAGGCAGAAACGGTATGGTACTCGTACACAGGAGAAGCGATACCTTACTGTACACTTTGACGTCCGGTTGACGATCCGATATCTCTCGATATCCTTGAGGCTGAGAGTTGAGCTCTGAAGCCTCAGGCTGGGGGATCCTGTGAGTGACTGTTGAACAACTGCCCATCAGGCGCAGAAGGATGCGTGTATTTCTACTAAGAAAAGCATTGTAAAAGTGACTTGGGCCATCCCGAAGCGCACCTGCCTCGGCTGTAAGGTAGGTAGTACGTGTCTCTGCCCGTTCGTTCCTGCCGCGACTCTCTGAGTCTCTGGCCTCATGAATCTGGTGCCTGAGGTACTGACGTCTATTGCCTTTCCTTCAGCACGAATCTGTCTTCTCTTCACTCTCCTCCTCGTGAGCATCATACCGCCATTCCCCTTGCCCTCCTGCCTCTCCTCGCCAGCTCTCCTCATCGGCCTCTCCTGCATTCGTCCGCAGCTATTCTTCTTCCACCCCCGGCTTTGGGCCTCAATATCGGGTCCGGCGCCTGTCGTCACTTTCGTCATCTCGCAGAAGGACACGCGCACACGCACACGCACAAGCACAAGCACAGATAGGCACGCGCAAACGCAGGCGCAGACGCAGACGCAGACGCAGACGCAAGACGCAAGCCGCAGCAGCAAAAAGACGACAGTCGTCAGGCAGACTGAAGCAGCGGACAGAAGACGCTGTTGTCTCTGCAGCATCTCTGCAGCGTCTGGGGAGCCACCGCAGCAACGCTTGTTGTTCACTGCCTGCTTACCAGCAGAACCGACGGCGGCAGCAGCAGCAGCAACAGCAAAAGAAGGAGAAGAAGCGATACCAGCGTCAGCATCTGCGGCTCGACCTCATCTACGCTGACCTCGGCCGATTCCGTCCCATCACGAGCACTCTCAGGTCCGGACACCCCTGCAACCTCTGCTCCTGGCTCGTACCTATTGCTACGCTCCCCGGCCAAGCACCAGTGGTGGTACTGCTACTGTCTATGTACAGCATACCGCGGCTCTCGGCCTGGGCACACAGCCAGCCTCGCGTCAACGCTCGCGTGAGCTCCCCGTACTCGGTATCCATGCCTCGTCGAAGCTCCAAAGCCACATCATCAACTGGAGTCATGCCACAGTCTATGGCCTCCGTCTCAAGCCTCACAGCTACATAGTATGATCCAGATAGGATACCACCGCGAATTGCTACCTTGACCCTCTCCACTTTCGCCACTGCTCCTTCTTTCATGCCTCGTCTGTGTCCCATCTCATTCGGGATTCTACCTGTCTAGGTACTATCTATTACAACCACTGCTAGATACAACTTCACATGCCTGGCCAGGTAAATTCCCTATTCGATAACAGAGAAGTGTGGAAGAACAGCAGAGACAACAAGTGGCATTGAGACCTTTGGTGAAACATTGAATGGTGTGATTTCCCTCCCTTGCTCCAAAGTTTCCGGCATCATTCCCTTCCGCTCACCCAAGCTGCAGCGCACCACTTGCACATGCTGTTCTAGACGAACCCCCGTCATCGGCAACCGTGTTCTTGTCACTTTCCACTGCATCAAGTGGTGAGAAAGGACAGACCAATACCGAAGCGACCTCTCGTGGGTATCGATGAAAGAACCAATCGAAGCAGACGGGCTGGGCAATCGGGCAGCAGACATCGCCAGCGAAGAGGCGGAGAGGCGAAACAACTCCCTTGATACCATTTGCCGAGCGATTCGCCCGTGTTGATGTGATTCTTGACTGGCCTATAGCCGTCGAGCGGCTCCCTGATCTTCGCTTGACAAGCCTACTCGTACATTTGCTCATTGACATTTACACGCATAGGTACACATTTACTACTGCACGCAGTCCTTGCATACATACACACATTCTCCATACCTGGCTCTGGATAGCCTCTGTTATTACATACTTCCTACATCCCTAGCCCTTGTTGGCCTACTTGGGTAGCCGGACACGAAGTACCCGATCTGGGCACGGGCAAAGGTACCACAAGAGGCGTGTTTCTTTGCAACCGCTTCAGCTCCCCGCCGTCATCCAACATCAAGGCCTCCAGACAGCCGCAGCCATGGCCAGCTCAACGGCCCCGGAGACCCATCAAGCGGCCCAAACCCAGCTCGTCCCGGGATTATCGACCCCTGGCGACGCCGGCGTGGATGATGCCAGCTCTGCGAGCGCTACTGTCGTACCAGCATCTCCCACATGCACTACGAGCACTCCCGATTGCTGTCAAGCCGCCACATCTACCGGTGGATCTTCAGACGTGTTCTCTTCACTATCCGAGCTTTCATCCGCTCTCTCTGGCCTCGGTAGCGTCTGGTCACCGCCTCGTCTGGATACTCTGCCAAGCGAGGTCTTGGCTCTCGTGGCAAGCTTTCTCGATGTTGATGACTTGTTGCGTATCTCTCGTGTAAGTGCTTTTTGCCATGCCGTGTCTTCCTGACTGAGTGGCCATGCAACCTTGACTGCACGGACGCTTCATCAGACCAAAGCTGCAGGGGTGGGAAAAGATGGGAAAGGCAAAAGAGAAATCAGAGAAAGGGGCGCATATCGGTCCCAACATCTCGTCTCCCCCTTGTCATTGCTGTCATCGGCCACTTTGTTGGGGATGCTTCCTCTTTGCTGACTAGCCGTCTGTATAGACGTGCCGTCGACTTCGCAACATCTCCATCGATCCGGTGCTCCATCACTGCCGCCTCCGCAATGCTCGGTTCCTCGTAGCCTCCTATCTCAACTCTCCGTGTCGGCCCTCGATCGATGATCTGACATCACGATCCATCATCTTGACTCCAAATGCCATCATCTCACGCCGGTTGGCACGGTCCCTCATATCCATCCGCCTCTCCCGCCGTCTTGCTTCGCGGCTTTCCGCTAGCGACCTCGTCCAGCGCTCCGTGTTGCCCCAGGAATGTGTCCCCGGCATGGTCCCCGTACACGTCGCGCCAGGCCTGATGGCTAGGCGGAAGACGGTTGAGAAGGAGCGCATCAAGGACGGCTTGAGGCGGTGGATTTCCGTCAAGTGGAAGCGCCAGGTCCATGAGCGGGCAGAAGACGCGCGCAGGTCGGACGAGATTCGCGGCGTTGGCCGTGTCTGGAAGCTGCGTCGTTTCTGGGAGAGGATGAGTCGTGGTGAGATGCCTGTTGACGGAGGCAGAGCATGGTGATTTCTTTCCTTTCTCTATGTCGTGATGATGATGCAGGTTCCACGGGGCGTTTGAGGCTTCTTTTGCCATTGGGCAGTTCCATATATAATACCCGGCGATTTCAGTCTCTTCTGCTTTGAATCAAAGGAGCTATTTTCAATACAACTCGTAGATACCGCCGCTGAAGCGGTGATACAATAGGGCGTAGCTGGGTCATTTGTCTGTTTGGTATTTTACGCATGCACCCATCATAGCATTGTGAAGGCATTGTGAGCATCATTTGTATTCCAATTATGGCTGTGTCCAGCGACGTATAGAAGCAGACTCGCATCTATTAAGTGTGTACGCCAGATCCATGCATTGGCATTCCATATATCAAACAAAATAGTCATCAAGTAGAAGACAAAGAAGAGAAGCAAGCATGGCCTTGTTGTATATATGTACATGTTGCAGCAGTTCTCCCATTTTGCCATTCGCTTCCTCTATCGCCCTGTGCGAAACCGGAAGCCGTCCCAGTCGTCTTCCTCCTCCTCATCATCATCTTCGTCATCTTCGTCACTGTTCTCAGCTTCGGCTCCATTCATGGCAGGCGTCGTGAGGGCGTTCTCTTTCCCTTCGTCTTGGCCATCGGAAGAAGGTTTCGTAGTCGCCGCCGCCTGCAGAGAAGCAACGCCATCATCGGCCACCTGTTCCTGACTGACCGTCTCTCCTCTCTTCCGCATCAACGCCTCCCTCTTCTCCTTGAGGCGCTGCACCCGCGCCTCGAGCTCCTGCATCTCCTCAAACTCCTCCTCCAGCGCCCGCGTAGCCTCTTCGCGCTCGTCCTCAATGTCCGCGTCTGCCTTTGTCTTGCGAGATTCAGGGTTCTCGAGAGCTTCCTGCTCAGCAGCAGCAGCAGCAGCAGCAGCCTCCTTTGCGGCGGCGGCTTCCTCGGCGGTCATGGCGGGACGGGAGATTACGGCGTCGGCGTCGTAGGGGGCGGTTTCGGCGGCGATGTCGGCTTCGAAGGCGGCCCATTCGTCTTCGTCGATTTGTTGTTGGTTTTGGGATGTTGATGCTGCTGGGGGTTGCGGGGGGTGCGTTTGCGGTTGTTGTGGCTGTGGTTGTGGTTGTGGTGGTGCTTCTTGTTGGATGCTCATGGAGGAGGATGACGCCGGAGTTGCCAGGTTGCTGGCCTGGCGGGAGGGAAGAGAGGTTGCCAGCTTCGTCGTAGACTTTGCCGCCGCCGTCGCCGCTGCCGAACTGCCAGAGTGTTGCGAGTCGGCGGGCGTTGTTGACCGCGAGGGCATCTGGACTTGGACGCCCTGCGAGGGTCCCTGTGGCTTCCTGCGGCCGGTCTCGGGTGATGCGTGTCTGCTCCGTTTCCTCCGGACCTCGTCCTCTTCGTCCACGTCGTTGTCTGTCTCACGCTCGTCTTTAGACGCAGCAGCCGCATGGTCGAGTTTCCGCTTGTGGGTGGATGAGGGAGTGTCTGCCCTCTGATGCCGGCCTTCAATGTCGTTCAAATCCTCCATCCCCGCCTGCTCGTTGACCTCGTCGGTTACGCAGTAGTCGTCGTCGTCGTCATCGCCACCATTGACATCAGGTGGAGGCGGAGCTGATATGGTAGACAGACGCTTTCTGTGCTTGTCGCTGGCGAGGTGGGCGTCCCAGTGGGATTCTGCGCGGATCTGGTCGCGGCAGAGGGTGCAGAGCAGCTTTCCGGTGTCTGAGTAGGCGGCGTATGGATGGGTGATGCGGCGAGCTGCCCGCTGCTGGCGGAGGAGTGCCCGAACGTCTGCCATGGTGAAGATGAAGTGGATTGTAGGAGTATGGGAGGAGGTATGGGGGGCTGAAGGAGCTGAGCTTTGTCGAACAGGGTGCAGAGATGGGGGAGCTGTCTCTCCCCTTCTGCCTCTTTACTGTACGTGATGATGGGTATGTTGGTGGTGGTGGTGGTGGGAGCTGGGAGATCACCCAATCCCTCAAGAGTGAGTAATAATATGATATCAGAAATGATTATAGGTCAATGGATAAGGAAGAAGCTCTCGTAGGGACATGCAATGGTCCAAGATCCATCCACGCCTTCAAGGTATTTTTTTCCCATCCATTGTCGAAGCTCCAGGGCGGGACGTCACTGAGCGTTGAAGCTTCCCCGGAGCCGGTGTTTCTCCGGGCGCTGCAACCACTAGTCATGTCACTAAACTCGTGCACTTTAGGCGATAAGCTATCAGCCATCTGTCTACGAGCATCTCCCATCAAACAACATCTCCGCGATCGTCTCTCTCCTCTATACCTACCTTATTCACGTCGCTCTACATGCTGCTTTCTGCAGCGCGGTAGCTCTTGTTCACGAAAGAGCTCCTTTGCCGCTTTCTCTCAGTCTCCAATGAGGTGATAATCCATCAATTCTTGCTCAAAGCGCGGGGAGGGGTTACGTGCATTGGAATAGCTGAGAGAGACGGGAGGGCAGAAGAAAGGCAAGAGAGCAAAGATGGATGACCAGCCAGAGCCGCACTCGCTGGCTTCGACGTTTCCAAACCCGCCAGATTTTTGGAAGGAATTCACGCCAGACAAACTTGCAGAGCTCGCCGAGCTGAAGCTGGCTAGGGTGCCGCTGGACCACGGCGACGCAGGTAATTGGCGGATTCCAGACCTACCAGAGCATCTAAGGCATCTGCAGCCGCCGCCAGAACCGGCAGACGGACGATGGCGAGTCTTTGGCGACCAGTACATGGTGTGTTTGAAAAACGTCGAGCTCCTTGTTGCTTCAGAAACCGCGTGTCTAACCGCATCATCTACATACAGCTCGACGACAAGCTCCCCACCCTTGAGGAACAGGGCATTCAAAACCTGCCAGCAACCGCCTCGTCCGCCGCAAAGGACGTTAAGCACTACGACCGCGCCTTTGAGCTCAAGCGCCTCGTCAAGTCGCTGCTGCTCAACTTCCTCGAGCTCAACGGCGTCCTGGCGCGCAACCCGGCCGACGCCGAGGCCAAGATCCTCGACATCCGCACCCTCTTCATCAACATCCACCACATCCTTAACGAGTACCGCCCGCACCAGGCGCGCGAGTCCGCCATCGAGATGATGCAGGACCACCTCGACCGCACGCGCACCGAGACGGCCGCCATCCGCACCCAGGTCGACAAGGCGCGCAAGGTGCTCGAGGGGCTGGGTAGCCTGGACCTGTCCGTCTTTCAGCAGCAGCAGCTGGACGGCGCGCAGAGCATTCTGGACGCGTCGCCGTCAAAGGACCTGACGCTCGAGGACGTGCTCCAGGGCGAGAGGCGCGAGCGGGCCGCGGCCGCTTGGTGTATGGCCGATGCGTTGCTCAACTAGTGGAGGACGACGAGCTTCATGCTGGAAACCGTCCGCGTGACGCGCCTCATTGTGTGGCCGAGCGCGGTCGGCACTTGTCGGTACCGCTGCGGCTACAGGTGCCCGGCTGGATGCGACTTTGAGTGCAAGCACACGTGCACATGCAGAGCCATGTGCGGGCATCCGCGCAGAGAGAGGCGACGAGATAAGACAAGAGGCGATGGAGCAGCAAAGGCGATGAGAAATGGCAAGACAGGAGGAGTGGTTTACAGGAGGGGTTTCGGGGCATATATTTGATGGCCTTGCTGCTATGGATGGTACAGGAGATGCCAGGCCAGGTGTTGCATGCGGTTGATGACTCATGGATAGTGACATTTCGCTGGCGGTTGGATGAGAGGGTTGGACAAGGTTTTGGCTGTCTTTTTTTTTTTTTTTTCTGTTTCACGTTATCCTCCACGAGACGTGTCAGGATCACACAGCCTACATGGTACAGAAACACACAGATACTCGGAAAGAGAGAGCAAAGCACTCTACACATTCTAGTCAAAAGACTTCACATGCTGTCAAAAGAGCACACTACATCATTGAGTACATATATCGTCAGAGTTGGTATCATCCATTACATGGCAATATTGCCCAAGTAGACCTACACACAGACACGACCAAACCAAGTAAACAACTAAACTCGTACAAAACTCGTAGAAATCATCTTTTTGCTTTGCTTTCTTTTTTTTTTTTCCCCCTTTCTTCATCCCCTCTCCCATGGGATTTTTCCCTCTAAGCCTTCTTCACAGGCTGGGGCGGCCCTCCTCCTTCTCCTCCTCCTCCTCCCCCTCCCCCTACTCCTACTGCAGCCACTCCAGCTACAACCTGCGGTATTGCTGTTGCTGCCGCTCCTGCTGCTGCACCTTGACTATTCTCATTCCCATTCCCATTTCCGTTCCCATTGCCTCCGTTCCCTCCTGCAGTCCCCTCCTTCTCGAGTAAGTCGGCCAAATACTTCAGATCGTCTCTAGCGCGCGGATCTCTTTCAATAATGACCTTGATCACCTCCCATTCCCGCCTCGTCATCTGATACGCCTGCGGGAGAATGAACTGCACAGTAGGTACGCTGATGAGCGGCCCCAGCACCTCTCTCGCAGTGATCACGCCCGCATCCTGCTGAGCCTGCTTTCTCTGGTCGTCCGGTGCCTGCTGTTGGTGCTGCATAGGCGGCGTTGTCTGAGATGAAGTTGAAGACGGCATCTGAGCGTTATGGGGAGAAGGCCCAGGGCGGTTGACATGTGGCGGCTGGGGGATGGGAACCGGGGTGGCAGACTGTCCGTGGCCGTTGGGCGGCGGCGGCGGCGCGTTGGGGAAAGGAGTGGAGGCCATCTGAGGCGTGGCGGGTGAAAAGGCCGGGCCTGAAATGGAGTTGCTTCGCTGGCTGTATCCGGCGGGCGTAGGAGCAGGAGGTGGCGGAGGCTGAGCATTCGCGGGATGCGACCCCGTCGACGCCGCAGACGACGCAGCAGCAGCAATGGCCGCCTCGTTGTTGAGAAGCTGCTTCAGCTGATCCGGCTCACTGCGGTAGACAAAGACGGCCAGCAGCATGGGCTCGGCCCTGGACTTGGGGATGTAGTTGTCCACCAGGTTGAGCATAAACTCGGGGTGACCATCTTCGCCCGCAGGGACAGGCACCAGGTACGTGTCCCTGACGTTGCCGGCGACCTTATTGCCGACGACGCCATATCGGTTCTTGCTGACAAAGTAGTTGATGAGATTGTTAAACTCCTGCTTCGCGTCCGGCGACGTGGGCGTGATGTTGACAACGATGATATCGGTCAGATTGCTGTATCGCAGACTGCACAGGTACTCAATGGCGGCCTGCTGGGGGATTCGACCGGCCACCGTCATCTGGCGCGGGATCAGCTTCGACCAGGGGCCAAACGACGCAAAGTTGGCGCCTCCAATGTGCTTGGCCGTTGCCTCGAAGTCGGCAATGGAGCTCATCGCCAGGGAGCCGCGCCAGACGACGTCCGGATCCAAGGTTTCCTCCGTGGGCGAGTAAGGGGGCGATTCGTTCTCGTCCTGCAGCATCCGGTCGACGTCGGGATCGAATCCGGGGCCGTTCGTGCTCAGGACCGGCGCAGAAGGACGGCGACGGTGAGCAGCCGTGGGAGATTTGACGGAGGAGAAGACCTTGCCTATGTCGAAATTCGACTGGCTGGGCGAGCGCTCGCCTCCCAGCTCACCCCCTCCGATCGACTCGCGCTTAACGTGCTGATGCGGTTGTTGCTCCTGCTGATACTGCTGCTGCTGCTGCTGTTGCCCCCTTTCTCGATCCGATTGTCCCTGTCTCTCCTCTGCTCCCGCGCGAGGCCCTCCAGCTGATGGCATGGGTGCATCGCTGGTGATGAGGCTCTCGTCTTCAACGATTTCCTCGCCCTTGTGCGTGCGTCTAACCCGAGGCCCCGTTTCGGATGTGTACAGGATGGACTGCTTCTCGGCCCTGGCCTTCATCTCCGCAGTTTGCCTCTGCAGCTCAGACGACGCAAGCTGCTCCGACGTCATGACGGCGAGCGTCATGGGCGAGTGCTCGTGCGCCCAAAGGCCCTGGAACAGCTCGGGGTTGTTCTTGAGGTTGAACGACAGCGACTTTATCTGCTGACTGTACTCCTTCTGGCCTTTGGAGAGCGGGTGCGTGTCGAAGACGGCGCGCTCGATCTGGAGCGCGTACTTTTCGGCGAGGGATTCCGCGCTTTCATCCGCTGGTAGCTGGATGTGGCCGCTCTTGGAGAGGGATGTGATGACATGAACCAGCGACTTCTTCAGCGCCTTCGCAGGGCCGACGCGCGTGCCGGGGAGATCCTGAATGGCCGTGGTCAAGTCTGGTGGAGGCGTGTACTTGACCTGGGGAGACGCGGCGCCAGAGGCGGACGCAGAGGCAGAGGCAGAAGCCACAGCCTCATCCTCTGATACTCGGCGCATCTTGGTAGTCTACAGAGATAGAGACGTTTGTGTTAGCAGCGATTCAACAACGGCAACACGTAGATCAGTCGTGTCAATTGGATGGAGATTTACACATACCTTTCCATCGCCATCCTGCGAGTCCTCTCTCGCCTTTCGCTTGCCCTGCTTGGCCACGCCCGTCACGTCCTTTTTGTCCCTCGCGACCGCATCCGGGGTCGGCGATGCCTTGGCCTGAGCCGCGTCCCTATCGGCTTCCTCGCGGATGTCGCTGCCTCGCTTCCCCTTCTTGCGGCCGCCGCGCTTCTTCTTGCGCTCGGCCTCCTCCTCGTGCGCCTTTCGCCGCTCCTCCCACAACTTCTCGCCGCGAGCAATGGCGTCCAGCAGCTCCCGGTGGTTCTCGGGCTTGCACTGCTCGCACCAGTAGTGCTCGGGGATCTCGTCCTCGTACGAGCTCACGCCGACGCAGACATTGTGTTGCCACACGAGGCACGTCTCGCACGCGATCCAGGCCTCGTTCGAGTCTTCGTCCTGCTCGGTGGCGCCGCAGACGCAGCGGATCACCTCCTCGGGCTCCTGCGACTGTTCCTTCTCCGGCACCTGCGCCTTCTTGTTCTTCTTGGTCTGTCGACGTTTCGGCACCGGGGGCTCCAGCTCGTCAAAGGCCTTGGTATGCTGGCCTTTGGTGGCTCTGACGGAGCGTCGAGGTTCGGCTTCTCCTGTGAGGCAGCTTCTGTTAGCCATGTGTCTCTTGAGGAGCGGCGGCGCATGTCCCGCGAGATCGCCTCCAGCGAGTCGCACGTCTGCGCCGTCTGCCTTGGTTGAGGAGAAGGGAATCGTCGGCCGTGATGCCTTCGCTTCTAGCTTACCAGACATGGCAATCGGGCACGCGCAACGGCGTCGCCACGGGTGGTTTTGCAAGGATTGCGCAAATCCAACTAATGAGATGCAAATTCTACTACAGAAGCGAGCGCGTGATGGATAGACGACTCTTGCGCTTCGCTTCAGGCGGGCATTGGGAGATTTACAAAGCAGACAGAAACGGCAACTAGTAGGTAGTCACAGACAGCTAATGAAGCGCAATTCCTCCCCGTGACAATAAGTAATAGAAGAAAGGAAGAAGAGATGGGCCAAATTCCAGCGCAAGGCCCAGTTTCCAGCGATTCGATCTCCTCAGCTATGGGACCTCGGGGCTGCTGAGCGGAGCTGTTCTTTTTTTGCGCTGCTACAGAGGCAGCGCGTGCCGATTAGATAGTAGGTAGGTAGCTTGTGATGAAGCGAGAAAAAAAAAATCAAAGCTTGGGTTGGTGGTGATGACGGCAGCTTGCGTGGGGTTGCGGGAGCCCCTTGGTCTGGGAGTGGATACGGATGGAAGCAGACGGCGGGTGGCGCGTCTTTTTGGCCACTGGCTGCGTGCCGTTTGTTGGTTGGGCTTGACTGTGCTGGACTATTGCGTTGACAGCTGGTGGCAGATGCGAGCAGCTGTTGAGTGGATGGTTGGAGAGACAGTCGAGTTGATGCGATGGCCGGGGCTCGCGTCTGCAGGAGGTATATGTAAGACGGGGAGAAGTCTGGTATCAAGTCTTGCTGACGAGCCTCCAGATGCTGAGCTACCTTATGGAAATGGCGACAATATCTGGCAGCGGCTGCAAGAGAGACGACAATGTGCGATAGTCTCCGGGGTCAGCTTCCAGTAGGTGTTGTATGAGCGCCGACAACGGTGAGAGCTGCTCTGACAAGTGTCGCTGTGAAGACCCCAACGCAGGAATACCGTAGAACGCGATCACGGGAGCAAATCCGTTCGTGTACCACGGATGAGATAAAGCATAGGAAGGGAGGAGTTTGTAAGTAAGTGATGGATGAAGAAGGAGAAAAGGCAGTTGAGAGACGGCCGTCGATGTCGATAGAAGCAGTTGACAAGGTGAATGCCCAAGCTGGATGGCGCTTAGTCATGGGGGCAAATGTTCGATCGTGTAACAGAAGGCACGTTGCTCTACTGCAGCTGCACGGAATAGCCTCGGCTAAACTCGCCAGCTTGTCTCAGCTTCACTCACTCAGCCTTGCCGGTCTGGGCTGAAACTGTTGCCTCAGGCAGGCATCTAGAAATTGAGCACCCGTCGTGGATGGCGCTGATGACTCAGCATGCTGCAGCTCCAGGGTAAGTGCCCGACTTGAAGCTCATGGCAGCAGGTACGCGGCGGTCGTGCCTGGAGCTCCAGAAGTGACGCCGGCCTTGCTGTTCCCCTCCATACAAATTCCCTGGCAGTTCAATCAACCTCGGAATCTTCAGCCTCGACCCAGCAAACGGCCTGCTGTTACGCCTCTTCCCTGCTTGCGAATCTCTTCAATCTTTCACCAACCTCCATTCCGAGCCACGCCCTGCCGCTGTCGAATAAAGAAACAGAGATTGCCCCTCCGCCATGTCCCGCCGCTACGATTCCCGAGTACGTTTCCAAACTGCGAAGAGCTGGGCTGAGCTCCAACATGCCGTGATGGCAGGATTGCAGGCTGACCTGTGCAACAGACAACCATCTTCTCGCCCGAAGGCCGTCTCTACCAGGTTGAATATGCGCTAGAAGCCATCTCCCACGCCGGCACAGCCATCGGCATCCTGGCCAAGGACGGCATTGTCCTGGCCGCCGAGCGAAAGGTGACGTCGAAGCTGCTGGAGCAGGACACGTCGGCAGAGAAGCTCTACGTGCTCAACGAGTGCGCTTACCTCGATTGTCTCTACATCATCCGTGAAGAATGTGCTGACACCCCAGCAGCAACATGATCTGCGCAGTAGCAGGCATGACGGCCGACGCAAACATCCTCATCAACTACGCCCGCCAGGCCGCCCAGCGATACCTCCTCACCTACAACGAAGACATCCCCTGCGAGCAGCTGGTGCGCAAGCTGTGCGATCTGAAGCAGGGCTACACACAACACGGCGGTCTGCGGCCCTTTGGCGTCTCCTTCATCTACGCCGGCTGGGATCCACGGAGGCAGTTCCAGCTGTACCTCAGCAATCCCTCGGGCAACTACGGCGGGTGGAAGGCCACCAGCGCGGGCGCCAACAATGCTAGTGCGCAGAGTCTGCTGAAGCAGGACTACAAGGAGGACTGCACGCTTAAGGAGGCGTGCGGCGTGGCCGTCAAGGTCCTCAGCAAGACGATGGACTCTACCAAGCTGAGCAGTGAGAAGAGTAGGTTGCCTCGATTCTTGTGTCTTTAGAGAAAAATTCTAACGTTGTCTTTCTTTTAAGTTGAATTTGCGACGGTGGGACAGACAGAAGACGGCAAGATTTACCACCGGCTGTGGAGCGCCGACGAGATCACGGCGCTGCTGAAAGAACACGACTTGGCCAAGAGCGAAGATGCGGAGGAGAAATAGATGAGCACAGAGGAATGAAATTTAAACAAGTAGACTGAGAAAGAAAGGGGCGCTTAATGACACCAAAAAGACAATGGCCCTTGTATCAAAACGACATATACCAGGGCAAGTTTTGCTCAACCGCGTATATCTGTGATGCAGGCACGTCGGTCACTTTGAGCGTTCAGAAGCTGTATACTCTTTTTTCTCTTTTGACTGCTTCTCCCCCTTCTTCTGAAGGAGGAACACGATGGTCGACGGTCGACAGAGGCGTCGAGAAGCTATCTACACGTGTAAAACAGACAATCCCTAAAGCGCTAGAATGCTACATTTGCGCAAGAAAGAACGTGAAATCTCGCAATTAGCTTCAAGAAACAACCACCTCAATATCGTCGAACCCCCGGAGAAAAGGCCAGCTCACTACCTTGCTCTTCTTCATCCCTCACACGCTGCCAGCCGGCCTGGACCGCCTCGTCGGCAGGGTGCGGGTGCGGCTCGTGGCACTTTGGCCCCGAGAGGCGCGGGAAGTGCCTCCTGTAGCTCCAGTAGGCGACGGTCATGCCCAGGGCGGAGCCGATGCACACGTCGTAGACGTCGTGGCGGTAGTCTTCGCAGCGGGAGATTGCGATGAGGGCGGCGCCGAGGAGGGGCGCGAGGCAGAGCAGCGCGCGGCTGAGGTCGCGGCCGCCCGAGGGGTAGTTGAAGACGTGCAGCTGGCCGGCGAGGAAGAGGCTGAGGAAGCCGAGGCCGGCAAAGGAGAAGGACGAGTGGCCCGACGGAAAGGAGCGCCAGCCGTCCTGGAGGACGTGGCCGTCGGACGCGGTGCAGACGGAGATGTCGACGAGGACGTTTGGCTTCGTGTCGGCGTGGGGTTGGCAGCGGGCGAGGAGGTCTGGGCGGGGGCGGCCGACGGCGTTTTTGACAACGTCTGTGAGAAAGGAGGCGAGGACGATGGAGATGGCGAGCGAGAGGTATGTGGCCTCGTGCTTGTGGGTGGAGGCGCGGGTGATGGTGTTGTAGGCGATGAGGATGCCTAGGGGGATGAAGAGGGCGTAGAGAAAGTTGAGAGCTGTTAGGGGGCAATGGAGAGGTGAGTGAGTTCTCTCAGCTGGATATATAAAGGGGGAGGGGAGGGGAGGGGAGGGGGTTGAGGCACAGGGTCTTTCGGGGTGACGTACGGACGGTGACGCGCTCATGTTCGGCATGAGGATAGGAGATGCGCAGGTCGTTGATGAAGAACATGCGGTGGAACGGATTGACAAAGACGATGATCTGGCCCGGTGCGTTAGGAGCGATGCTGTGACGATGTGACTTGGTGACGCACCAAAATCCATGCTGCAAGAAGAATGGTCAAGCCGACATAGTCTGGCGCATGAGTCGTCTGTGCCACAAGTCAGCAAGATGAAGTGCAACACGGGGGAAACAGTGAGAAGGGAAGAGAGTAGGTATAGCATTCAACTCACCTTCCAGAACCTGGCCAGGGGCCCCATGGAGGCAATCGAGTCGCGCCCGTTGGCGGTGCGCACAGAAGGCATCGGGCCAAGAGACGAGATGCAGCAGCAGCAGAGAATGAGGGACTTTGTTTGCTTTTTATGAGTGCTTTGCCATGAATTTTCGAGAGATAATTTAGAGTATTCCCTTGAGAAGAAGGCTCAGTTCGTCGGTGGAAATGCGTGGTATATGTCGATAGACTGTGTGAGGGATTGAAGATGACTTGGAAATTGGCGATGGCGCTGATGTGCTCGAAACCTGGAATTTCTGGGCTAGGTATAGGGTAGGTCGATGCGTGATGCGGCAAAGACGGTGGACGCACGAGACAAATGGGCACGGCTACATATATCTGTAGTGTTGATATGAGGAAGAAGAAGGAAATTTAGCTTACTTCTTCTATGAATTACATAAAGTTTGAGTTAATTAAACGATTGTTGCTTGCAGTGACGCCTAGATGGCAATTGTCACCTTCGATATTCAAAATCCTGCCTCTTTCATGACAAAGTGTAACACCTCGTCTTACTCAAGCCGATATCAAATTACTCAACACCTGACATACCTACATACAATTCACAACCTTGGCTTCAACTGCTTGAAGCTCCTGGTTATCTCTGTAATCGCCGTCTCAACCGGCAGCCTCTCCATCGAACTCGCCCCGTAAAAGCCGTGAACCCCCTTGGTCCGGCTGAGCACGTACTCGGCGTCCTTTGGCGCGGCAATCGGCCCTCCGTGGCACAGCACAATGACATCCGGGTTAATCTCCACGGCGGCATCGCGAATCTCCTGAATCAGCTTGACGCACTCATCCAGCGTCTTGCCCGTCGCAGCGCCAATCGAGCCGCTCGTCGTGAGGCCCATGTGCGCGACTAAGACGTCGGCCCCAGCGTCGGCCATCTGCCTGCTCTCGTCTACGTTGAACACATACGGCGTCGTGAGCATGTTGAGCGAGCGAGCCTCGCGAATCATGTCCACCTCCAGGTCGTAGCCCATGCCCGTCTCCTCCAGATTCGCCCTGAACTGCCCGTCAATGAGGCCGACGGTGGGAAAGTTTTGGACGCCGGCGAAGCCGAGGTCGCGCAGCTGCTTGAGAAAGGCCGGGATGTTGCGGAAGGGGTCGGTGCCGCATACGCCGGCGATGACGGGCGTCTTTTTGACGACGGGGATGACTTCGTTTGCCTGCCATTGTACCATATGAGTCACTCCGTTATCTGTGTATAGGTACATACTTATGTGCGTCAGGTTGAACGAGGCGCGTACCATTTCAACCACAATCCCGTTAGCATCTCCGTACGGCATCAGCCCGGACAGCGACCCCCGGCCGGCCATCCGGAAGCGGCCGCTGTTGTAGATGATGATGAGATCACCGCCGCCGGCCTCGATGAACTTGGCGGACAGGCCAATGCCGGCACCGGCTCCGACAATGGCCTTGCCGGCGGCGATCCGGGCCCGCAGGCTGGCGAGGATCTGGTCTCTGTCTGTAGGGGGTGCCATTGCTCGTGATGGGGGGACGAAGCTGAACCAATCAATCTCTGAGCGAGCTGTTTAGCTGGAACGATGACCACTATGTTGGACAGTTCATGATCCGAAATGAGCCTTGGAGGAGCATCAGATATGACTGTATGTAATAAGCTGGGCTCGGAGCTCGTGTGGGGACGGACTGGGATTCATATTCCCTAGCTCATGGATTTGATGTCAGAGTGCATCCATCAATCGAACAGCTCCCCGCCATCGAAAGTCAAACCGATCTCTCCCATTTTGCCACTGTGCTTCTGATGATCGATGCTCCAGCATTGATGTGTGAGAATCATCACTGTCAAATCGTAGTTAGTCGCCATAGCCTGGAGAAGCCATTAGTCGTCCAACTTCTGAGACATTTGCGCGTTGTCATACATACATGTACAATATCGACGTACAGTAAAGCCAGCCTCACGTCCTGAACCCCGCATCCCGGCATCTTCAAGTTCAGATCGTACTATTAGTATCTGGTTATTCAACAATGGCATCGGTAGCAATCATTGGCACCTGCGATACCAAGCTCAAGGAGCTTCTCTTTCTGCGCGATAGAATCAAGGAGACCCCGGGCGTTGAAACGATCCTCATCGACGTCGGTCGAAACTCGTGTGCCGACGATGCCATCACCATCTCCCAGGCCGAGCTGTTGTCCAAGTATGGTAACAATGGCAACAACACAGAGGCTTTGGGCTCAACTAGGGGCGACTTCATCTCACTCATGTCCGGCTGCGCCTCTCGAGCTGTCAAGGACCTGTACTGCAAGGGCCTGATCCAGGGTTGCATCTCAGCCGCTGGTTCAAATGGAACCGCGCTTTCGGCTGCCGTCATGCGCAATGTCCTGCCCGTCGGATTCCCAAAGCTCATCGTGTCGACCATGGCGAGCGGTGATACGAGGCCCGTGGTCGGCGAGACTGATATTTTCTTGCTGCACTCCGTTGTCGACGTTGCCGGCCTCAATCCCATCTTGCGAGACGTTCTTCGTAACGCGGGAGCTGCCATCGCAAACGCCGCCCTGTCATACGCTTCCAGACAAGAGCGCAAGGCAAACGGCGCAGCGACAGAGTCAATGAAGAAGTGGCGGGTGTGCATCACTATGTTTGGCGTGACCACGCCTAGCGTCGATGCTATTCGCTCCCATCTCGAGTCCAAGTACCCTGTCGAGACATATGTTTTCCATGCCGTTGGGACTGGAGGACGGGCAATGGAGCGGCTGATCCGCGAAGGCCAGCTGGATGCAGTCATTGATCTCACGACGACGGAGATATGTGACTACTTGTTTGATGGGGTTCTCTCTGCTGGCGAGGGACGACTGGATGCTGCCGTTGAGGCGGGATTGCCAAACATTGTCTCTCTGGGCGCGCTCGACATGATCAACTTTGGGCCGAGGAGCACGCTGCCTGAGAAGCACAAGGGACGAGTCATATACGAGCACAATCCAAATGTCACATTGCTGAGGACCTCGCCGGACGAGTGTCGCGAGATTGGAGAGTTTATCGCCAAGAAGCTCAGGAAGACCAAGAGACCGGACTTGGTTCAGGTCTGGATCCCAAAGGGAGGCGTCAGCATGATTGCGGTCCCTGGCGGTCCGTTTGAGGACAAAGAGGCAGACAGGGCGCTGTTTGAGGCTGTCAGAAAAGGGCTGAGCGGGAGTGGCATTGAGATTGTCGAGGATGAGAGACATGTGAATGACGAAGGGTTTGCGAGGGACATTGCAGAAGCACTGGTTGCAAAGCTGGGAGTGCAGAAGAGTTGATGATTCTCTACGGATTACAGCGGCAAATAACACATAGCGACTGAAGTAGTTTCAATTACATACTGACACCAAGCAGCGTCATATCCCATCCTTGCAAACGATACCTATACAAATCAAGTGTAATCTCAAGTTTCTGGTCACTTGTGGGTTCAACGTTGTCGGGTGTTCATGGACGCTCAAGTCTTCGTCCAGTCGTGTAAGCCCAGAGCATACCGCTCTCCCAGCTGCTAGTGGAGGTCGTGCACTTACAGCTCTACAGGGCTGTCCCGCCTAGAGTTGAGGCCCTCCCGCACTTGCTTCTAGCGGTCCACAGGCCCTGACCGCGTCCAGCCCCGCTAAGGTATGGCTACCTTACCTAGTACGGAACGGGCCCCAGAAAACGCGGAATTCAAGATCCCGACCTTGAGCAGCTCCAGCCTCAACTTTTCATCTCTCCCTCTCTCTTCCACCTTCCACATACCTACCTCACCATCCACCACGACACCATCTCGCCTCTACGTCTTTCCTCGCCAGGGGCATCTCCAAGATGCTCAAATCAACCCACAAACCAGCGCAATTGGCGCCCCTCCCGCCAGGCTGGACCGAACACAAGGCCCCAACAGGCCACACCTACTACTACAACGCTGAAACGAAAGAATCCACGTACAAGCGACCCGTCCTCCAGCTCCCCTCCCAGCCAGCCGCCGAACCCTCCTCCCCCTCCCCCTTCTCCCCCTACGCAGCCGTTCCAAACCTCTCCGACCCAAACGTCGCAAATGCCTTCATGGCGCAGTTCAACAAGCCGCCGCCCCAGGCGCAAAGGGGCGGCTTCGGCGGCGGCGCTGGCCGAGGAGGCTTCGAGGGACGTCCGCGCCCGCAGCCCGTGGACAAGCCCAGGAGAAAGGAGCCTATACCCGGTTGCGAGCCGTGGGTTCTGGTGTACACAAAGTACTCGCGGCGCTTCGTGTATAACCCGGTCAAGAACGCGAGCTACTGGCGCATTCCCGAGAAGCTCATGCCCGCCATCCTGGAAATGGACAAGAAGAGGATACAAAACCTGAATGCAGCAAATGATCAAGCGGGCAAGGCGGTAGAAGCAGAGGGCCCCAAACAACCTGGCGAGGCCAAAGAAGAAGCCAAGGCTGCTGTAGAGGCGCCTGCTCCATCAGGTCCAGACTACGACAGCGACGAATACGAAGAGGTCGAAGTCACCGACGACGAGGGCGAAGACGGCGACGAGGGCGAGCACCCATCGAAGCGGCAACGCACCGAACCCTCCGACGACCACGACCAGGAAGGACCCGTCGAGTTCACGGAGGCCGACATCGCCGCCCAGCTCCAAGCTATGGGCGAAGAGTATGGCCTCGAGCCCGGCGACTACGACGATGGCAACATGGACGACTGGCCCGAGGGCGCAGAGGGCATGCACTTCTCCGAGGAAGACGCAAAGTTCCTCTTCCAAGACATGCTCGCCGACCTCAATATCAACCCCTACAGCTCCTGGGACAAGCTCCTCGAGGAGGGCAAAATCATCCAGGACCCGCGCTACACGGCCCTCAGCACGACAAAGGCCCGCAAGGAGTGCTTTGACGAATGGACCCGCCAGCGCATCGCCCAGCTCAAGGAGCAGCGGGCCAAGCAGGAGAAGAAGGACCCCAAGATTGCCTTTATGGCCTTTTTGCAGGAAAAGGCCTCCCCGAAGCTCTACTGGCCCGAGTTCAAGCGCAAGTACAAAAAGGAGGAGCCCATGAAGGACCTCAAGCTCTCGGACAAGGACCGCGAAAAGGCCTACCGCGAGCACATTAACCGGCTGAAACTGCCCCAGGCGACGCTCAAGTCGGATCTCACCGCGCTGCTCAAGGCGCAGCCCGTGCACCTGCTCAACAACAAGTCGCTTGCCAACGGATTGCCTGCGCAGGTCCTCACTGACATACGGTACATCTCGCTTGAGCCCAAGATTCGCGATCCCTTGATCGAAGCATACGTGCAGACGCTGCCTCCACCTCCCGAGGACCCCAACTCTGCTGTGGAGGACGAGGAGCAGAAGAAGGCGCGCGAGGCGAGGGAGAGGCGCGAGAGGGCTTTAGAGGAGCGGAATCGGTTGGTTGAGGAGCAAAGGAGGAGACGCGAGAGGGAAGTCGCGGCGAGCAAGGCACGGCTGAGGGAGGAGGAGCGGGAGCTGGAGTTTGCCATGAGGGTTGGGAAACGAGGCTTGCAGGGGCAGCTGGCGAGCATGAGCGTGAAGCAGCAGAGCGAGAATGAGGGCGAGCCATCATAGGGTCAGGAATTGTTTGATACTGATGCTTGAGTTCAATGGCAACCTGCATGATCGGTACATGTATAGATGCGTCCCGCCTGTATAATGACGATAATCATGATAAAATATCCTTTTTGGAATATTGATCAAAGAGTGTCAAAGTAACGACTAGCCTTTTCTTCCACCCTCTTGGCCAACTCAAGGAGCTGCTCCCTGCTCAGGGCACCATCCTCGGTCAGATAGACGTCCACCAGGCCAGCGGGCACCCATTCGAAATACACATTCGGTATACTCGCGTTTCCCCTCAACTCCCAGACTGCTGTCGATCCAATCACCGCATCCTTCTTCCAAGCGGCGACCACCTCGTCTTCCTTGTTCTCCTCACACGGCGGCGGTTCGAACGGGTATATTTTGGACTTTTCCGCAAGCACAATCACTTTGATGTCTGGGGAGACGTGCTTGGCGGCAAGAGTGGCAGGCAACGAGCCTATCTTGTTGCACACGTTGCCGGACTTGTCAATGAGGTCTGCACCGAGGAGGAGGATCTGCGCCCCCTTTGCGGCGAGGGCGGCGCTGGCGTCGGTGTAGACGGACAGTTTCGATGTGGCCTTGGCGTGGGGTTTGCCCTGCATGACAGATGATATCTGGCGAGCAGTCTTGACGCCCTCGAAAAGGGGACGGGACTCGAGCACGCGCAGGTCGATGGGGACGTAGAATGGCGGCGGCGACGTGAGGCCGCGGCAGATGGCGTTGGAAATGGTTGAGCTGGCCGACAGAGTGACGACCTTGACAGGGCCGCCATCGGAGCCTGGCTGGGACCTGATGTTTTCAAGGTATTCCGAAAAGGCTCTCGCAATCTTGGCCCCTGCCATGTCTCTCTGCAGCCTGATTCCGCTGATGTTATCACAGAGCTGGTCGACGTCCTCTTTTGTGGGAGTGCCCTCAATGCTCGACTGCAGCTTCTGGTCAATGGTGTCGAGGATGGACAGCATGCCGTTGAGGATCGCCGCACTCATGCTTTCACGGCCATTCTTATACAGGTGCCACGCGGCGATTCGGACGTTCCTCCACCACTTGTCTCGATCACTTGTATCGAGCTTTGGAATCACGTCCTCGTACAAATGGTAGTATGCTGCTATAGCCAGGAGCCCGGCGCCGCTCTCGTGGTCATTCTGAAGCGACCGAATCGAGGCTGCCAGAGCGCGGCCCGCCTCCTTGCCGAGATCGATATCAAACCAGACTCGTCTCAGGCTCTCCTTCAGCCGGGGCACGCCTTGGAAGGATTCGTCGTCGGTGACTTCGTCGGGGTTGAACCACTCGTAGCCTTCATGCTCCCAGTCTATCGTGATGCCCTCTTCGCCGCTGCCGCCCTCCGCAGCAGGCTTGAGGACGAAGCCAAAGGGGTTGATGGTCCATCTGCGGCCAACGCTGGGGTCCGCAAAGGAATACGGCTTGCCTTGCCGGAAGAGCCTCAGAGAAGCCGACGTGAGGGTTGTCTCCTCACGCAGCTCGCGCCAGGCGGTTGCCAGGGGGTTTTCGTCTGTCACTTCGACGCCGCCCGAGATGGGGGCGAATTTGTGCCTAGCAATATCATCATCAGTACCTATCTTTGACTGAGAATATCCTTTCTCTATCTAGCCATCCAAGAAGGCGTACTGATATGTGTTGACTTGTCCGCTCCTGCGAAACAGGGCGACTCGCGGCGTGCGCTCCTCATCGCCGTCGGGGAACTGAAAGATGAAGCTGACTGCGACGGCGCATTCCCTGAGCTGCGTCATGGTTCTTGTGCTTGATGGGAATGTAATGCTATGCTGCAGGACAGGCAAATGTGAGCGGGTGATGCTCAGAGGTCGTACAAGCAAACGGCTGTGAGATTGGTGCAAGGCTGCTCTGGGAAGGAGTAACATGACATCACAGCAGGAGGGGAGGCAAGCAATGTCTAGGTATGTACTTGTTCAGACAAGGCAAGCTGTGTCGAGATGAGGAAAGAGCAATACATGGGAAATTGTAAGTATTTGGATCTATCCGAAATATCTTTAAGATATGATATCGGTAAATAGTTGACTGAGTGCACTGTTGCTATATCAGAGTTTCCACATCGTATGATAGAATGTCGACTGATGCGGGCTGGCGCCACAGATGAATTGTGACGACGTTCCTCCACTCCATTCCGCGAGAGAGAGAGAGCTCTTGCATGATGGATCAAAGTCAATATCTACCAACAATTTATGGAAGACAGCGCTGTTGAAACAAGGCAACAATATCAATCTCCAGAAAGGTAGGTAGGTAGTTACAGCCTAGGAATTACTTGAAGTTGATAAATACCTACTAGGTAATGGCCTATGCATTAACACAAGCTGACAATGGCGACCACTTGCTGGCCCGTCTCTGTTGTTAAAGAAACTTACGGACTTGTGCCGTTTCTGATATTTTGGTTGGTGTTGGAATATTGCTGACCTTAAGGCCGGATAGCAATTCATCTCGCAGAACTATGACTGCCTTTAAACACCTAAAGGATTGCAACTTGGCTGTCCAGACGTTCTTGTGTGGCTTGATGGGGGAAAGAGAACAGGCAGTTATTCCACCTTGTCTACTTGATGAATAGTGTGAGTTTTACCGGGCAATACAGCCAACCTTTTCCCGCACCAGCTTTTGAGCTTTTGAGCTTTTGAGCTTTTGAGCTGCTTCTCATGAAATGGGCAGAACATTTAGAAGGTAGAATTCATCTCTTTTCTACTGGGTATTTGCTCTAAAATTTACTATACGTATCGTGAGCATCTGGAATGAACCCGCTCGAAATCAGGAAAAGATGGCTGCGGCTAGTTCAAAAGTCTCATGTCACCACTGAGCCTAACGTACAAATTCAACAAAATCAAGGAAAAGAAAAAAAAAATCCTCCTCTTTTATGCATTCATCGGTCCATCTGCCCAGTCGCCGCTTCTCTTCTCTCATTGCATAAAATTATTGTTAAAGAGCCCCGTGTTGTAGATGGACCACTCGTCGTCGACCCAGGCCACCAGCTCGTCGTAAAGGGCATGGTCTTCCCCGATTGGCATGCGCGGCATCGATGGGTAGCCCCCGAGCGTCGTCAGCATCGGCGGGGCAAGCTGCAGCTCCGCCATCCGGGCATTGTTCAACTCCTGAGTCTGCGCCATCGAGCCCGTCAGCCTCCGCGCCAGAGTCCACAGATGCCGCAGAGTGTTGGACGACGTCTGTCCAAAGTTGGTGAGGCCGTCTTCCTCCAGCTCGATGCCAAACATGATGTCGTTGTTCCTCGCCTCCCTCTCCTCCTCCGACACCTCCTCGTCCGAGATCAGGTCCTCCAGAATGAGGCAGACGGTGGCATTGAACGAATAGTGCTGCTCCGCGTGCAGCGGCGATTTGCGGCTGATGTTGAGCGTCGTCAATTGCCGTCCGAGGCGGATGTTGCGGCGCGCAGCGGCAATGCACAGCTTCAGATGCTCCGTGTGCGTGCTGCTGGGCTCGGCCGTCTGCACCACCAGTCGCCGGGCCACCGACCTCTTGACGGCCCCCAGGAACAGCGGCCGGATGGCCAGGATAAGGAGCATGTTGTACCTCATATGGAGGAGGCAACAGGCAGGGTCGTTGCTCAGTCCGTCCGGAGACAGCTGCAGGCGAGGCGGAAGCGTCAACTGCCACTGCTGCAGCATCCAGATGGCCTTGTCCGGCTGTTTGGCCAGTCCTCCCCTGGACGCCTCCCACGGAGCCACGCGGTAAGTGTTGCAGACAACATAACCCGAAATACGCGACAGCTCGACGTGAGCCTTGAGCCCTGCAGCAGGAGGCATTGATCTATGGAAGCATGTTTAGCATGACAACAACTGACAAAAGGGCAATAACAAATCTTCCAGTGGCTACTTACGGAGCGTCGGCTGGCAGCTGGAGCCGAATGGCGTCGTCCATGATGATGTGCGGCCGACCCATCAGACAGCTCAACCACCGGTCCAAGACGTATACGGTCCAAAACACCCTCTTACCCCTTTCGTCGACGAGCCCGCGATGGACACCCAGCATGATGCAGATATGCATGGCGGCCGCAACGTGCATATAGGCGGCATCTCTCCGATTCATCTCAATCAGATAGGCCGCCATGAGACACAGCGTGGCAACATCACCGATTGTGCAGCAGCGCGTAATGTCAAGCGGGTTCCCCACGAGGAGGGCAGCACGAGCAAAGTATGCTTCGCTGAGTGACGGCGTCGACGCACTCCCATGCACCTCTTGCGACGAGGTGTTGGCGCGGGTGATATTGGCCAGAGCGGCATGATAAAAGGCCAAGTGACGGTACTCGTTCATATCCGCGTCCGAGGCGGACGGCGGAGAGGCGATCTGGGAGGGAACGACGTTGAGATCTCCGAACCAGTAGATGCCGCCGCTGGGCCATTCACCGTTGCCATCCTGGATCAGGTATCTGAGCTTGCACAGTAGAGTGGCAAGGTCCTCGTTTGAGGGAAGAGACGTGGGCATTTCCTCACGCTCAACCAGCGGGCGCGAGTCAGCGGTGTAATATCTCCCCAGGCTGTTCAGGAAGGCGGTTCCGTCTTGATCCTGAGACAGCTGCGGTTCCACCTGGGCGAGGGGTAAAACAGCTCCAAGAAGCTCCTTCAAGTGATCGAGGAATGTGGCACCGCTGGTCTCTCCGAGATAGCGAGCCGTGCCATCTGGGTCCTGAAGAAGACGACCGGTTGTCTGCTCGTCCTCGGGCTCAGCCTTGACCGAAGGGGCGGCAAGGCGACGACTGCTCTCGGGAGAAAAGGACTGAGCGGGGCTGAACGGACTGGGAGACGGCGACAGGCCCTCTGGCGTGGCGGCGGCTTGAGTGATGAGCTCCTGTCTCCTGGACGGGTCTGGGATCACCTCCTGAAGTGCTCGCTCATACGCGTCGACCTTCCTCCGCAGCTCCTCGAGTTCGGTGCGCGGGACGCTGACTTTCTCGACTGGGGTTGGATAGACGCATTCGCGGTTGGAAGCGGAGCACTGCCCACAGGGATTGCCGCCGGAGCACTTGACTCGACGAACATTGCAGTTGTTGCATCTGTGTTGCAGTGTAAGTTGATGAGAGGCGCTTGGGTTCAAGAGGCGACTTGGAGGACATACGCAGTAGCGACTCGCTTGCGCTGCTCGGGGGCTACCTTGTGACGACGAGGATTGACGGGCAACCTCTGGGTTGACGAAGGCCGCCTGCCGTCGCTATTGTCGAGCTGCATCGTGGAGAAGTCTTCGATATGAGGAGCAAGGACGATCGTCAGAAGGGTTAAAGAGAAACGGACGCTCAATGGATGCTGCTGGCTCCTGATGATCAACTCGAATGCTCTGTTTTATGTGAGCCGGCCAGCAGGACAAGAACGCGCAACACCACGCAGCGAGCCATACCTTTGTACTTGAGGTTCAGCTTGAGGCTCTACTCAAAGCCCCTGCCCAAAGCCGCGCTTAACGTCTATGCTCGCGGCCGGTGGGCCTGCACAGCAGTACGTAAGGCGTACGTGTGCGTGTGTCGTCGGTTGATACCGTCAATCACGATGGCCTCACGAGGGAGCAGTCGAGCGGCCAGGGTAGCCCTAGTTCCGCCTCGCGGCCACATCCGACAGAGACGGCACGGCACAACACACCACGACACGAGGCTCCAGTCGCTATCTCGAGCGTCAGATTGTGCCTGTCGAATCACGCATGGATGGGAGGGGATCCAGTTTGCATAGAGAGAGAGCCTCGTCACCGCCGGCGGTCCAGCGACCATCTGGGTCTCATTGTCATGCGTCGTCGTGATCGTCGTCGTGTGCAGGTGCGAAAGCCGGCTACGGACTCGCAAGTCGCAAGGCTGGGGACCTGGTGCTTTTGATGTAGGTGATCTCTCTTGATGGATCTGATCTGTCAGTGCTTCTGCTGGTGGTGACGCCGAGCGCGGGGGGGAGCGAGGCTAAAAGGCGGGATTGGGTGATGGCAGCAGGATTCCGTCCGGTTAGAGCCTCTGGGGGGGCAGTTTGGGGGTCGCTAGCAGCGATAGTGCGTAAGCTTAGGCGGTTCTAGGGCCAACAGGCGCTGTGAGCGGCTCGTTGCAGCGACCTGATCCCATGATGGAGTGGCACTTTGATTTCGCCTGGTTACACCTCACGGACATGTCGATGGACTCGGATTGGAGAATGGGGGTTAGAGGGGGGAAATACGCAGATGCCGTCATTGGTGTCTGTTGCTTGATTCTTTGTCTGTGTAGATGCAGCTACGGTACGAAGAGACAGAGTCACAACATGAGAGCATCACATGAGGCACCTTTGGTAGGTCAAGTATGAGCCGGCGTACTCTCCTTTCTGCCCTCACAACAAAACACCATTCCCGCGATATTACCAATGAATCAACTAACATTGGACGACAACAGCACGGCACACATCAGACTTACAGGGAGGGGATATGGCTGCAACACTTCGTACCTGCACTTCGACTGCCCTGGTGACTTGACGCAACTTCTTTCCGATAGGGCTCAGCTCATGCAGCTCCTCACCAGGGTGTCCCCCAAATCCATCTCAGCGCCTGTCGGCAAACTCCTCGACATGGAGCTATTTGTCAGGGCGAGCTCAGCGCCGACTCGGAGCCGTCAAAGTTAACGTCAAGCCAAAATTTTAGGCCCCGGTCTGACAGGGGGGGAGGATCCCTCTTTAGCGGATCCTTTGTCGCGATTGCGAGGACGCTTGATGCTGTTCCGAATCGAAGGGTGACGAGGACCGTACGCAATTGCCTTCGCGGCCTTTTGCAACGCTCTGCTTGCCAATGTGCCCCAATGCGAACCTGATGACGGGGAGATAGGTAGGGCCGACAATTTGTCTGTGAGTTCATTTTTTGGGACACGACGAGTGCGAATGATACTGCATGAAGAACTGTAGGTAGGTAAGCTAAGTAGGTATGTATTTCCCATGTAAGAAGGCTGTTAGACACGATGCTTGTTCGGCAGGAAGCGCAGCTTGGGATCTTGCATGGGATCAAGCAAGGTGTTTAGTACAAGAATAAGCATGGGATCTACCTTGATATGATGGTTGAAGCTACGAATTCTGCATGCACTTTGCAGGCCTGCTGGGACATGTCAATGACCCTCAGCCACCAACCATAGCCATTTTCTTGGTGAATTACCTACCTTCCATAGGTAGCTTGCTAGGTACCGTGGGTAAACTGGCGATGGAAACTCTCCATCTGATCAGGCGAGAGATTGCAGCAGGGTGCAGCTGTCAACCTCTGCATGAGATGACAAGGCTAGCGAAGCAGATCAATCTCGAAATTGTCTCTCCTCTCTCCCCTGTTTGGTTCCCCGTTTGGTAAGCAACCTGCCATTGCAGGGCACGGCACCCGACCCGAATTACGTCTCCCTCGTCACTAACGCTCGCGTCACCTTGCATCCCGCATCCACCATGTTGCGCGTCCTGTCCAGCTCGGTCATCGACTACAATGGGAAAGAACCTTGTTCAATGCCAAGAAGCTCAGTTTGAAGTTTCTCGAAATTTCATCAAACCTCGAAACTCCGCGGATAGCGACAGTTCGAACGCACAGGCAAGGATGAACCAGTGTGGGCACGACATACCTACAAGTACCAGGTAGTACTCGTACGCTGACTGGTAATGACTAGCCGACAGCCGTTTCTGCAGCGGCCAACCGCTGTTAGCCGTTGATCTTGGTTGGCACCGGCTACATGAAGGGAAGAACGTCACAGGAATGGAGGAGTTCGTCCGGGAACCCATCGTCGTCCTTCTGGTCAGATGCTCGTTTCTCTAGGTAGCATGTAGATGAGCAGTGAAACTGCGTCGAGGATGTCTCCTTAGTAAGCCGTGCCAACAAGATCAATTCATGTAGTCTAGAAAGCAGGAGCTGTCAAGCGTGCCTACCTACCGACATACTGGGCAGAGACCTGAGAGGAAGGAAGCTGCCACCCCAGCAAGAGCAATTGCCCATACCTACTAGGTACATGCAGACCATCGTAGGTCTACTCTAGTACCAAGATGGAGAAAAAATCTTCAGCCTCGCATGTTGAGCCTCTACAATCTTCAGCACCCATACACCCAAGCATGTGCCACAAAACTCGATTCGAATCCAATTCTACATTTCATTCGCAGTTGGTACATGTTCTTACTCCTACCCTAAAATCAGGATCCCCGTCTTTTCTTCCACAGTCACGTACGTTAGTAATATACAAACAGGCTTTTCTCTAGCATCGTACGCACCGTACCGTCAAAGACTCGTTGCTTATTGCTGATGGGAAAAAAACTACAATGATGTTTTATTTCTGTGTGCGCCGTACCAATGGGAACAAGATAACTCTTTCTAGATGCGATACTCCTATATCGCCGCCCGCCATCGCATGATGACTCTGCACCAACTGTGCTGCAATCGGTCTTTCAAACGTCTTGAGACGAGCAATTGCATCAGGTCTCGCCAATATCGCCTCCAGACCTTTCTTTTGGGTATCTGCCTTTTTCAATCCTCCACAATTTTATTTTTCACTGCGTGCTGGGGAAAATGGAGCCAACAATCTCTGCTGACCTCGTTGCCAGCACCGATAGGAGAGAATCGCTCAACTGTCCACTGTTAGCATTGCTTCTTCCTTCATCGCAGCGTCAAGCTGAACTTACCCCGTGAGTGCCCTCGCAGCATCCCTGAAGCCACACACCCGACTCGTCCGCCACTGATCCGGGCTTGTACTTGACTCGATAGTCTCGGGCGACCGTCAGCCTGCGCTCTCCCTCGCTCGTCTCGACCTTCCATCCGGTGATTCCCTTGGGATACTCCTGGCCAACTGGCGCCGCCTTGGGCAACATGTCCCACGTGTCGCGGAGCATGTCGACATGTGCAGTGCGCTGGTAGCCGGTAGCAGCAATCAGCAGGTCCACCTCCAGCGTCTCCTCATCGACGAGGTCGACAAAGCCTTCGACCTCGCTGTCGGTGACGTGCTGCACCTTGAGCTGCAGGGAGTCTTCTCGCGGCTCAATGCTGGTGATTTGGCGGCCACCCATGATCCTGTGAGGCCACTTCTTCTGGTCTGGTCCGAGATCTCGCCTCTGGTCGTACTGGCGCTCGTACATCTCCTCAATGAGTTCCAATCTGACGACGCCATAGTTGGTGGCGCGAGCCTCGGTCAAAAAGTTGTTGCGGTGCCTTGCCGACTTGGGGAAGAGGGTGTCGATGTATTCGGGGTTGAAGACTGAGTTGACGCTGCGGTACCGTTAGCCTGCTGAACCTGCTGAACCTGCTGAACCTGCTAACTCTTTGGACGTGTACTTACAATGGAGAGTCGTCACTGGGCTTCAAGAACTCGGGGCGCATAATCAGCGCTGTCTTGGAGTTGGGATACAGAGTCTGGATGTTGTGGAAAATCTCCGCAGCGCTCTGGCCAGCGCCGAGAACGGCCACGCGATAAGGCGCGTCCTTCTTGGACAGGATCTGTGGGACCATGTAGGCATATTGCGAAGAGTGGATGATCCTGGGGTGCTTGGCTGGGAAGCTCTTGGGGAAGTTGGGCTGGCCTCCAGCGGCGATGAGGACGTTGCGGCCCCGGAAGGACTGCGTCTCCCCAGTCTTTGAATTTCGCGACTGGACTGCGAATGTGCGCACCGAGTCTCCCGTCTTTGACTCGGGAGACACAGAGACCACCTCTTGTCCATACTGGACCAAGTGATCGAAGAATGAGGCGCACCAGCGCAGATAATCTTCATACTCCACGCGAGCCGGCAAGAAAGTGCCCAGATTGGTGAAGTCAATCAGCCGTCCGTTGCGGTGCAGGTAGTTCAAGAAGGTGAACTCTGACCGCGGATCTCTCAAGGTTGCCAGGTCCTTGATGAAGGAGATCTGCATCTTGGCACCAGGCAGGAGCATACCGGCATGCCAGGCAAACCGGTTCTGCTTCTCAAGGAAGAGGACTTTAGGAGCTGAGCCGTCGGGGCGGAGCTGCCGTCCTGAAGCGAGGGCATCGTGAAGAGCGACAGCGACAGCCAGACTGGCGGGGCCGAATCCGACGCAAATCAAATCGAACTCGGAGTCCGGAGCCGATTGAACCAGATAGGGCGACTTTTGCTTGTGCATCTTGCTCTCTGATGAGTGTCCGTTGGCCAATGGCCCGGAGCTCCTGGTGTTCTGCTCCATCGCACCAATGATGTATGGCGAAGAGCTGTCGAATCCATTGCCGTGAGCCTGTTCACTGCCATTTGGCGTGGCCGGCTCACTGCCGCCGAGGGCGACCTCGCTGTGGGGGGACATGGTTATTGAGCTGGGTGACGTCGAAGCAGGTAATGGTCCGCTTTGGGTTAAAGAACGGTGACGTTTCAAGGCGGAGGCTGGCAGCGGTCAAACAGTGACTGTTCCCAGTGATGCCAGAAGAAAGGGAGGCTGAAATTGCAAGGGCGAAGGAAAGAAAGACGAGGACAGAAGAGGGAGAAACAGACTGAGGTCCAAGTCTATGAGCTCCTCGACTTGCTGTAACACAATGGTATGCTCTTGTGGTGGATTGCGCTTAGACGGTCCAGCAATGCGGGAGCTGTCTGACAACGCTAGAGCAGAGGAGAGAGCTGGGAAGCTTGTGAAAGTGGGAGGGGGAGCTGTCCAAGTTCCGCTCAGCAGTTTGGTGGGATGAGCCGGGAATTATACTCGCCACAACCGGTGCCTGGATCCAGGAGCAAGCAGCCCTTTTCTTGTTAGTCTCGCCTGTATCGACTCGGATTCCGTGCTCGACAGTCCCAGAAAACCCGAGACCAGCCGCAGGACGGAGACCCGGAGCGGAGATGCCCTCATGGACAAGGTCCAGTGCTGGCCAAGGATCGTGGCCGCACACAGTGCAGCTTTGCGGGCTAGTGCAAGCAGCCATGTACATAATGCCATGTACAAATCATGGCTGCATGGGCCCATTCGATACCCTGTCCATGAGATGCTTTTTTTCTCGACTATTTCGTAGCCATGGGCCACCTCGATGATCACGGCAGTTTGTCCCCAGTCGGCGGGACTCGTGTTGCGGCAACATGGCGGTGGGTTGAAGGACGCTTGCTGAAGACGATGCTTGAGCCGTTTGATTATATCGGCACCAGATTACCAGTTTGAGTGTCTGTTCTGGGCAACGAGATCTTGAGCACAACTACCTACAGTACCTCTTCTAACAACACTGACCTCTCTCTCTACTCCTTCTCTCGCACGACGACTTCACTCTACAGAAGACGGCTGAACTCTCTGGATGCGAGTCTGGACCTTCTTAAACGAGTTCGAATTCGCAACCCGTCTCTGCTTGGCACCTATAGCGTGGACTCTTGCAATTTTGCTCTCCGTGCCCTTGTCATGCTGGTGCAGGATTCGATGAGACGATCAGAGCCCGAGGAACCAATCCGACGCCTCGAACCCTCCGCACAAGGGCCGATCTATGGGCCGATGACAAGTTTACAACGCCCGTGGTTAAATTAAACCATCCTCCCCTCGGCCGCTGGTGGATGAGGACGCTGCGAGGACGGAGACGGGCCCCATCGCGAAGCAGGCGGGTGGAGATGGGATGAGGGAATTATCTGATGATCTGATAAAAACCGGATCTGATAAGATCAAAGCCCGTGGATGGATCCATATACATCCGTTGCAATCCTAGGCCCTTGCATCTCGTGGCCGAGAGGAAAAATTTTCTTCTCTTCGCTCAGCTGGGTCTCTAGATTTCTGAAGCTGTGAAGTTTTTCACGAGCCTCCTTTTCAGCAAAACCCCTCACGGCTCCGCTGGATTACTCGAGTGAATCAGGGCGCGTACAGTAACACTCGCGGAACGCAGCGCTCTTCCCTTGCAGGGACTTGGCATCTTGCACGTGAGTATCCGATATTGAGAGACACCAGAACAGGGCACGCAATCGTCAAGAGAGGGGGCAATCGAGCCACTGTTACTATATCGTGTGCTTTCTCCGCCGGGTGAAAAGCAGAGCAATAAGCCGAGCCCCACCTGAGTTCTTTGCGTACTTCTGAAGAGGGATGGCAGAGTAACCCTCTCGGCTTGTTGGAGACTTTTGCTGCTGAAGCCTGCGAGAAGGCCGGATCGAGAATAACGGCGATGAACCACCTGTAGGTACTAGCTCGCGGCTGCTCATGTCAGACAAGGCCACCCCTCCTCGGCGTTTATGCTGGATCTTGTGTCACCCCAACCCCAAAGACCGGCTTGTTAGTGACTGCCTGGGTATGGTGTGCAGGTCTTAATGGGTAAGAAGGGCCTGTTTTGAGTTTGAGGGATCTTTGTCTTGGTGTTGACGCTTGCCTGTTGCTTTCTCACTTTTCACTTTTCACTTTGTCTCTCACATCACTCAATAACACACTGCAAGCATCTCACATCCCTCTACGCTCTTTTCTTCGTCTTGACACTGGCTAAAGGCCGACTACCGTGACGCCGTCGTCACTTCTACGACAAACAGCAGCACTCCCCCAACCTTCAGCCCAAGCGAGGCCTTACACGCAGCCGAACTCCGGATCCTGCTCCAATAAGGCTAAAGCTGCACATCCAGGAACTGCTATCCGCACCAACTACATACTACTGCTACCTTACCTTAGTAGGTGCGTGTACGCGAGACGAACGAGTGCTTCCCAGCCGCCGCCCATCAGGCATGGAAGCAGATGGTTCCCTCTGTGTCGCAAACTGACGACAACGATTGGTGGTCGCGCACTCTCCTTACGCCTTGCTGACCAATTGCCCTCCTCTGAGAGGCTGGCTTCCGCCCCAGCCCATGCACGATTGAGACGCACCTCCATCGACGCAATCATCACGAGCCGCCCTGGGGAGCTTCATCGACGAATCATCGACATGGCAATTCATTGACGACGCTGTCTCACACAGTTTCGACATTTGTCCCCGTCGCGGCATCTTCCTTCGCAACAGTCGCGTGGTTTTCAGAGCTTGGCTAAATGGCGCGTGGAGAGGGTGCAATTTCGGGTGACCAACGAACGTGAGGCTATTTCGCATGGGTATGGATCGACGTGATGAAAACATTTTCAGCTACTAGGTAGATTGTGCCTTGATAACTGCCCGGGGATTCTTGTGGCTGCCGTGGTTGTGGGCATCGAGCACTTTGGTTGGCAGACGTGGCATATGGCCTGCTTCCTTGGACACTCTTTGCATGCAGACGCGCGCACGCACACATACGCACATACTCACACACTCACTCACACCTAACACACATACCATACAAAGACACCATGGAGAAACTCGATGACCTATCCGTGCTTAACCCGCACCCAACAGAACTACCCGGCCCGGATCTCCTCCACCACCTTATCAGAGAACCGGATGATTCAATAGCTCTCGAGTATCTAGGCCGAGGTAACCGTGTCACGTTATCCTATCGCCAGCTTCATGATGCGGCAGACGCCCTTTCACGCCGTATATGTCATGCAGTGGGTGAAGCCAAAAATCACTTTGTGGTTCCGGTCCTGGTTCACCAGTCGCCACACTTATATATAGCCTTGTTAGCTATCCTGAAAGCTGGAGGTGCATTTTGCCCACTCAACGTGGACGCCCCCCCTGACCGCGTCAATTTTATCCTCAACGATGTCTCTGCCGGTGTTATCGTGGCGTCCTCGGAGCTGGCCTCCAATATACCTTCACAAAGCGCCGTAAAGGTCCTTCTAGTTGATGAAGACGAGAAAGAGACACGTCTCGACGCAGGCTCTCCTGGCTGCCGTGCTCCCAGCACCAGGGATTTGGCATACGTCATGTATACATCCGGTTCAACAGGAGTTCCCAAGGGAGTTGGCATCTCTCACTCTGCAGTAACACAGGCATTGCTTGCCCATGACCAGCATGTACCAGCGTTTTCTCGTTTCCTCCAGTTTGCCGCGCCGACCTTTGATGTCTCGGTCTTTGAGATCTTCTTCCCACTCTTTCGGGGAAGCACGTTGATCAGCGTCGACCGAAAAGAGATGCTCAACGACTTGCCGGGAGTCATTTCGAAGATGGAGGTGGATGCTTGCGAGCTGACGCCAACTGTTGCCGCCAGCTTGCTGCGGAAAAGGGAGAATGTCCCGACGCTGCGGTTGCTGTTGACTATTGGCGAGATGTTGAATGAGGCAGTGGTTCGAGAATTTGGGGGGGATGAGGAGAGAAAGAGTCTCTTGTGGGCCATGTACGGGCCAACAGAAGCTACAATTCACTGGTCAGTATATATCCTTATCAATGAAGACTTCCTTTCGGATTGGTCATCTCTGACACGCTGATACCGTAGCACTGTTCAAGAAGCGTTCACGACTAGTTCTTCAGTAAGAAACATTGGCGTGCCGCTTCGTACCGTCTCATGCTTCATAATTGAGCCTGCAGAATCTGCGGAAACAAGTAAAACCGTCAATATTCTGCCCAAAGGAGAGATCGGAGAACTTGCAGTTGGAGGGCACCAGCTTGCCGATGGATACATTAACCGACCAGAGCAGACGGCTTCCTCCTTCATACCCTCACCTTATGGCACCATCTACCGGACCGGAGACAAGGCGCGCATTATTCACGATGGCACGATAGAGATCTATGGACGGCTATCCGAAGGCCAGGTAAAGCTTCGCGGCCAGCGGCTTGAGCTGGGCGAGGTGCAGGCTGCTGTGTTGAAGACGCCTGGCTGCCACCTAGCAGTTGGGGCGGTCGTTGACTCTATTCTTGTGGTGTTTTGCGTTGCGGACGCCGAAGTTACTGAAGACTCGATCATGGACCACTGTCGAAGCTGGCTTCCCCAGTTTATGATACCCGGAGAGATCGTGCTGGTGGACGAGTTCCCTCGACTGCCGAGTGGAAAAGTCGACACCAAGAGGCTGAAAGCGGAATTCCTGGAGAGGAAAGCTTCTGGGCAAAGGGACGCTTCAACTTCAACCGGCCTGTCTGAGGCGGAGAGGAGAGCCCTGAGCGTTATATCGGACACTTTGGGGCTAGAGGCGAAACATGACATGACGCTTGCTTCTGCTGGAATAGACTCCCTCGTTGCCATCAAACTGGCATCCGCGCTTCGGTCGTCAGGATTTGACGCGAGCGTGGCGGAGCTGCTGAGAATGCGGACAATAAGACAACTGTGCTCTACGTTACGACCTCTTGCACCCGCCACTACTTTTGAAAACGCATCGGTTGATGTCCACTTGAGGGACTGCCTGAGCTCAATAGCAGAAGCCAACCATGCGCTACAGATCGACGCTGAGCATGTTGAAAATGTGCTGTCATGCAGCCCTCTTCAAGTGGCGATGTTATCAGAAACAGCTCATCGACCGGAAGCGTACTGGAACGAGATCGAACTAGAGGCGAACCCTGGAATTTCAACGGAGGCCATATGTGATGCCTTCCATGCACTTGCACGGCGAAGGGACATCCTGCGGGCGGGCTTTGTCGCCTGGCAAGGTAGCTTTGTATCACCAGTGTTCAAGTCACTGCGATCCGATCAAGTAGAGGTTGTCGAACAGTTCCGTCAGCCGGAGCTATCGGCGGACGACGCGCTGCTTCGGCCGCTTCGCATCCAAATTCGGCAGGCTGAACATGGTAAAGACCCGCGGGTGCTGATGCACATCCATCATGCCATATACGACGGCTGGTCTATGGACATTATCTTCTCGGAGTTGACCGACATACTAGCTGGAAGGACATTGCCTGAACGGCCACAGTTTTCAAGTCTGCTGAATTATTTGAGCAACATCCCGAGAAATCAGTTGGACACTACAAGATCATTCTGGGCTGAATATCTTGCTGATTGGAATAAGCCAAGTCGGCCGAAGCTGAGTGCCCGACCAGCTGAGTTGAACGAAATCTTATCTGCCCGCGCGCAGTTGGATGTCACCACACCTATCAGAGATGCTTTTGAAAAGACGGGATACGGTGCTCAAGTCTACTTCCAAGCGGCCCTTGCACTCCTTTGGGGCAGCATCGTGGGTACCTCGGATGTTCTGCTGGGCTCAGTAACTTCCGGGCGAACGATCCCCGTCAAGAATGTTGCTGAGATTGTTGGACCGGCCATTGCATCGCTTCCACTCCGGGTGGATGTCGATGACTCTGCTACAATGTCCGATGTACTGCGAAACATCAACGAGAGTAATCGCAGAATCATGGAGCACTGCATACTGCCATTATCTGACATCAAGAAGCTTTCAAGACTGCAGGCGGCTGAGAGCTTATACGACGTGTTATTCGTCTACCAAGAGTCATTGTATACGAAGAGTCGAAAAGACGCAGCTCTTCGTGAAGTCCGACATCTCGATCGCCTGGAAACGAAGCTATTGTTGGAGGTGGAACCAAACGATGCTGGTTATTCAATCCAAGCGACGTACCATACTGATTGGTTCCCATCAGATGTCGTTGAGGGTTTGGTTGAGCAGATAGGGGAACTTTGTCGGCTCATTGTCGATCGCCCTCAAGAGACGGTTCGAACGATGAAGGACGCCGTTACGATTCAGCCATCTATTGCAAACACAGAACCGGAATGGCTGCAAGACGAGGCAGATCTCGCTACTCTGTTCGAAGCTGCGGCTGCGAAAACGCCGGACGCAGATGCCGTATGCTTTAGCAGATCGCTTGCAGAAGTTCCCTTGGTGGCGGATACAATGTCCTACGAATCGCTCAATCAGCTTTCCAATCAAATTGCTCGCTTCCTGCTCGATTCAGGTGCTGAACCTGGCCAGGTCATTGCTATCGTCATGCAAAAGTCTCCTCTTCTCTACGCTTCAATCCTCGGTATTGTCAAGGCCAGATGTGCATACCTGCCTCTGCTACCATCTACACCCGTCGAGCGAGTGAAGGACATTTTTCGATCAGCAAAAATTAAGCACTGCGTGGTGGATACGGCTTCTTTAAGATCGCTTCAGGATGTACCTGATGTCCAGTACCTGGACGTCGAATCTGCTCCAACAGACCGTTTCGAGAGCCACAACTTGAACATGCCAGTCGACATGTCAAGACTGGCCTATGTCATATACACCTCGGGAACAACAGGAGTCCCAAAGGGCGTCGCCGTCAGTCAGAAAAACATTGTCAGCAACATCACATACCTCGCATCCATATACCCCAGCGCCCAACAATTTCCTTCTCGGCTCTTACAGGCCTGTTCGCAAGCATTCGACGTATCCGTGTTTGAGATCTTCTTTGCTTGGCACGCCGGCATGTGTCTCTGTGCCGCTACCAACGACGACTTGTTCGAAGATCTGGAGCATTCTATTCGACAGTTCGGCATCACGCATTTGAGCTTGACGCCTACCGTGGCATCACTGATTGACCCCAAGAATGTGCCCAGTGTTGAGTTTCTGGTCACCGCTGGAGAGCCGATGACTCTATCGGTTCTTGATGCCTGGGGAGAATTGCTGTGGCAGGGATATGGACCTTCGGAGACGACGAATATTTGCAGTGTCAAAAGAATGAAGCGCGGGGAGTACATCGAGCACCTCGGCTGGTGTTTTCCCAACACGTCGGTCTTTGTGCTCTACCCTGACAACCTGTCAACTGTGCCAATTGGCTGGATAGGCGAGTTCTGCTTCGGAGGGGAACAGGTGGCTGATGGGTATCTTAACATGCCAAATCTGACGGCGGAAAAGTTCATCAATCACCCCGAATACGGCCTTATCTATCGATCCGGTGATATGGGGAGAATGCTGCCAGACAAGTCGCTCCTCATACTTGGCCGCATCGACGATCAACTCAAGCTCAAGGGTCAGAGAATTGAGGCTGGTGAGGTCAACAGCGTGATTACCTCTCACCCGTTGGTACACGCTGCGATTACCACGTTGGTGCAACGAAATGTTGAGGCTGGTCACCAGCTTGCTTCCTTCTATACGTTTGAACAAGGGCTAGCCGACGCGGAGTTTACGACAGCAACGCCCGATTCCGAGACTCATCGTTCTCTGTTTGCTGCCCTGTCGTCCAAACTACCTTCATATATGATACCATCGTATCTGATACCGGTCTCTCGAATACCCCTTACTTCTAGTGGCAAGGTCGACCGGCGTAAGCTACAGTCTTGCTTTGAGGCTCTCCCCCAAGAGTATCTCGAGACTGTGTCAGGCACTGTAACGGGGCAAGATGATGCTGAGTGGAGCACAAAGGAAACAATGATCGCGGAAGTCATTGCAAGGTCGCTGAACGTGCCTCGGTCTGATATTGGTCGATGGACCCCATTCCCAACCATCGGCTTGGACTCGATATCGGCAATTGGAGTTTCTCGCAGCCTCAGCGCTGAGCTGGAGCATCGAGTGCCTATATCAGCAATTCTGCAGAATTCGTCTGTGGCACAACTTGCACGCTTCTTGCAAGAGAGACCTGTGTTGGGGAGCCAGAAGGAGACAGTATCCTTCTTTTCCGATTCTTTCATCAGTCAGGTTCGGGAAAGCTTTGGATGTGAAGCTTACTCTGTTACAGAGATCTTACCGTGCTCTCCTCTACAGGAAGCCATGTTGTCTCAGGGACAGGGCAGCTACTACAACAGGATTCTTCTGCGGCTGCATGTGTCCGTGGACGAGATGAGGGGATACTGGGATGAGATGACACGACGTCATGCCATTCTCAGTACATGCTTTGTCACTACTGATAGTACAAAGTATCCTATCGCGCAAGTTATCCTCGAAGGTTGGACCAACCTTTGGAAGGAGTTCACTGTCGGTACGACTCCTGTCAGTGAAGCCGTTCATGAGCATTTGACTGGCCTACCTGATCCCTTGGATACGAAAATCCCGCCTCTCTCTTTCGCCATCATACGACAAGAAGAATCGACTTTCGTGTCTTTGATATGTCATCATGCGCTCTATGATGGCGTGGCAATGGAGAACCTCTGGAGGGAGGTAGAAGCGCTGGCACACGGCCAACAGTTACCCCCACCAGTCTCTTACTCAACCTTTTTACGCGAAGCGCTTAACCTACCTGCAGACACTGAGAAGTATTGGAGGGATCACTTCCGAGGATACGAGCCCTTCAGTCTTTTTCAACAGCCTTCAAAGAGTCAAATTCTTCAGCGCACACACCAACAGAAGATGGATATGTCATATATTGAGGCCAAGACTCGTCTACGAGCTCTTGGAATATCGCTGCTCTCTGTGTGCCAAGCAGCCTGGGCCGATGCTCTCACTGTGTGCTCAGATACCACCGATGTTTGTTTCGGACTTGTCATGAGTGGCCGCACTCTGGACATTGAAGGTATCGACAGATTGGTTGCTCCATGCTTCAACACGATTGCGGTGAGAAAGGATGTCTCCTCTGCTTCTCGCAACATTGATCTTGCCAAGTCTTTCCAGGACCTCAATTCTGGTGTCCAACGGTATCAATTCACGCCTTTAAAGATGGTTCAGAAACTTGTTACAAAGGAGGGCCGAAGACTCTTTGATACTCTGTTGCTGCTTCAGAGTCCCTTGCAGGATATGGATGCTGAGATATGGACGCTTGAAGAAGATGAGGGAGAAATGGATATTCCGATCGTCTGCGAAATTGTTCCTCATTCCGGCTTGGACTCGCTCACTGTCAATATGCACTACGACAAAAACGTTGTCAGTGATGATATCGCGTCTGTTCTTGCCAGGGTCTTTATGTACTTCTTCCGATACACTCTGGACCATCCTTCTTCGGCCTTACCTGATAGAAGCCATCTCCATCCTGCGCAACTGTCTACTTTAAGTGCTATTACTGTGGAGAGACAAGCGACAGCAACATCAGATGAGCCTTCTCAGAATGATGCGGAATGGACCGAGCAGCAGAAACAGATTCGACAGGTTTTTTCAAGTCTCTCCAAGGTTTCGATAGAGAAGATTTTCCCGGAAACGAGCATCTTCCAGCTCGGTTTGGACAGTATCAACGCAGTCCAGGTGGCATCGATGCTTCGACGAGAGGGATTCGCGGTGTCTGCCTCCGATGTCATTGAATGCCAAACTTGTGCGAGACTGGCAGACAGGATAGCTGCGGCGTCAAAACAAGAGGAAACAAGGCCTGTCTTTGATTTCGACAAGTTTTCTAAAAAGGTATCTTCGCAGGTTGTTGACAAGGCGCCGGGTACCGCCGTTGTGGAAGCGATTCTTCCTAGCACACCGCTCCAGTGCGCGATGTTGGTGTCGTTCATCCAGTCAAAGGGGAACAACTATCTCAATTTGCTGTCATATGCTGTTGATGACACCTTTTCGGAAGACGACTTGGTTGCGGCATGGAAAGCTCTGGAGAGGAACCATCCCATGCTTCGTACGGGATTCATCGCGGTGCATCATCGACACAGCTCGTTTGCGATGTTGAGGTATCAGGCTTTAGGAGACTTTGAAGTGACCAAGTTCTTGTCCAAGTTGGCATCGCAAGATGAAGTACAAGGCTGGAAGGAAAAGGAAGCAGCAGCGATACTTGACAATCTCCATCTACCACCGTGGAGGGTTTCGATCGGCGAAACCGAAGGTGGACTCATGATGAACCTTCTCATACACCATGCTCTATACGATGCGCATTCGCTGGATCAGCTGCTGGGCGACCTCTCCTTGCTCTTGGATGGACGGAATTTGACCCACGTCCGGACCATTGAGCCCGCACTGAGTGAGATTCTCACCAAGAGTCTCAGCGATCAAAGTGCTGCCCAGGAGTTCTGGAAAGAAAAGGCCGAATTGACAGTAGTGAACACTTTCCCCATCATGACACCGCTTCGGGAGGATGTCAGAACCATGAAATCTCATGAGATCAGATCAGCCGCGACGCTATCTGATATTCAATCGGCCACCAAGCATCAAGGCGTCACCATACAGGCAGTCATCCAGGCTGCTTGGGCACGCATTCTTTCGTCGTATCTGGGCGAGGACTCTGTCGTGTTTGGAGTGATCCTGTCCGGCAGAGATACGGATGAGACGAGGAATGCGCCGCTTCCTTGCATGAACACCGTTCCCGTCATTGCTTCGAATCAACCGTCGAATGGTCGGCTGACTCGATCTATGATGGCTTATAATGCAGATGTCTATCGATATCAATACACTCCTCTGGCACAGATCCAGAAATGGTTGGGTCATCCTGCGACGCCTGTCTTTGATACGCTTCTGGTTTATCAGAAGCTGGAGAAAGGGTCTGGCCTTGGAAAGCACTGGAAGCTCGTGAAGGATGATGCGGCTGTCGATTATCCGGTGTCGCTCGAAGTCAAGCCGACAGTTGATGACGAGATCCTACTTTGCCTCACATTCTTCAGCGATATCTTGCCGAGTGAGCAAGCTGAATTACTACTTCGGCAATTCGATGCCATGATGGTCCACATTGCTACCAAGCCTGACGGCGATGAGGATGGCATCTATCGACTGAAGCCTGATCTTTATGCGATAACGCCGCCTTTATCGCCAGAGCTGCCTGCACCGGTGCAGTTCTTACACCAGTTCGTGGAAACAAGAGCTGTTTCTCACCCGAATGATCTTGCGCTGGAGTTTGTTAGCAGATTTGACGGCTCGCGTCCCGTAAAGCAGGCATGGACATATGCCGAACTCGACGAGATGGGCAACAAGATTGCCAATTTGCTGAAAGCTGTTGCTGCGGTAGGGAGCATCGTGGCGATACACTTTGACAAGTGCCCAGAAGCGTACCTTTCTATTCTTGGCATCCTCAAAGCTGGGTGTGCTTTTGTGGCACTTGACCCAAGTGCTCCTCGGGACAGAAAGGAGTTCATTCTGAGGGACTCACAGGCCCCTTGCTTGCTGACAGCTACTGGGGGCTTCATCGACTTTGAGACAGACGTCAAGGTTGTACATGTTGACCTTGAGTCCGTGAAGCTGTTGTCGGCCGAGAAGCGAGATCTGGGTGCTGACTTCACGCCTGAAGCGACTTGTTATTGCCTCTACACGTCTGGCACAACGGGAACTCCCAAAGGATGTGAGATCACGCACGACAACAGCGTGCAGGCAATGATGGCTTTCCAGGAACTATTCAAAGGGCACTGGAGCGACGACTCAAGATGGCTGCAGTTTGCCGCTCTCCATTTCGACGTCTCGGTATTGGAGCAGTATTGGAGCTGGTCGGTGGGAATTACCGTTGTTGCCGCACCAAGAGATGTTATCCTCGATGACCTGATTGCTTCCATCAACAACCTCGAGATTACGCACATTGATCTCACACCAAGTTTGGCGCGTCTTACGCATCCAGATGAAGTACCTGGCCTATGCAAAGGCGTCTTCATCACTGGCGGCGAGCAGCTCAAGCAAGAGATACTGGATGCTTGGGGACCAAAAGCAGTCATCTACAATGCGTACGGTCCAACAGAAGCCACAATCGGAGTGACAATGTACCAGCGAGTGCCCGTCAACGGAAGGCCGAGCAATATCGGGAAGCAGTTCCTCAATGTAGGTTCATACGTGTTCCGCAAGGGGACGGAGGTTCCCGTGTTGCGAGGCGCTGTTGGAGAGCTCTGTGTTTCTGGAAGATTGGTTGGCAAGGGGTACCTCAATCGTCCGGAGCTTACAGAGGAGAGATTTCCGACGCTTTCGGAATTTGGCGAGAGAATCTATCGAACGGGTGACCTCGTACGGATACTGCATGATGGATGCTTTGACTTTCTAGGCCGAGCAGACGATCAAGTCAAGCTACGAGGACAACGTCTTGAGATTGGCGAAATCAACCATGTCATACGCACTGGCGTTCCGGAGATCAAGGACGTCGCGACGGTGGTCATCAAACACTCATCCGGCGGCAGAGATGTTCTCGTATCCTTCTTGGTGGGCGAGCAGCAGAGGCAGGCTGTCTTGACGCCATTGGCGGATGACACGCAACTGGGTGCCAAAGCTAGAGACGCTTGTCGAGCGAAGCTTCCGGGATACATGATTCCGACGTATTTCTTGCTTTTGCCATTCATCCCGCTTTCTCCCAACAACAAAGTCGAGGCAAAGGAGCTAAAAAAGCTCTTCAATGGTCTATCGCATGAGCAGCTTATGGACCTCACTGCACCAAAGGCTTCCATTCGAGCCGTCAACGGCGAGACTAGTCAGAAGGTGGTCAAGATTCTGTCCGACTTTACGGGTGTTAGCCCGGATATGATTGAGGCAGAGACGAGCATCTTTGACCTGGGAGTGGACTCAATCAGCGCCCTGCAACTATCTACAGCTTTCAAAAAGGGAGGATTTGCAGCATGCTCACCGGCTATCCTACTGCAAAATCCAGTGGTTGCTGACCTCACCACGGCTCTCTTCGAGAAGCTGTCTTCGTCCATCAAGGACAGTCGGGTGAAAGAGGCCCAGCAGATGATACAGGCGTACCACCATCGGCACCGCGCATTTGCCTGCAGCGCTCTACATATTGGACCCGGAGATATTGAGTATATTGCGCCGTGTTCTCCACTTCAGCAGGGAATCATATCCAAGTCTGTGACGGGTGAGATTCAAGGGACTTACTTTAACTCGTTTGAGCTGGATCTGAATGGCGATGTTGCAGAGCAGCAAGTCAAAGCTGCGTGGACAAAGTTGGTCATCTCTGAGGCTATCCTGCGAACGGCTTTTGTCAAGACAACGGAGGGCTACATCCAAGTCGCCTTGAACAACCAGGAGCCGCGGTGGATCGAGCAAGCTGTGCAGAGCGACGACGATGCCAAAGCTTTCTTGGACAGTCGTTGGGAGAAGTGGGTGCGGCTAAACAACGAACACATCACGGCGCCTCTTGAGGCGATCTATATCAAGGGACCCAACTCCAAGAAGCTGGTTATTCACATCTTTCATGCAATTTACGACGGCAATAGCTTCGAGTTGATGTTACGGCAGCTCAAGTCCAACTACCGGGGCAAGCCAATGGCGCCTTCTCCGTCGTTTATAGAGGCATTGACTCATGGCCCATTATGGCGACATGATGACTGTCGAGGCTTCTGGGAGACCCATCTCCAAGGCTGGACCGGCTCCTCCATTCTGCAGCTTTCTTCGTCTAACGAACGGGCTGTCTCACAAACTCGGGTTCTTCAGGGCAGCGTACTGGAGGACGCTCGAAGGAACCACAAGGTCACGCTGCAGCCCGTTATCATGGCGCTATGGATTTCTGCGCTGCAGAAACACTACTCATATGGGCTAGCAATTGGACTGGTGTTGTCCGGAAGATCGATCGACCTTCCTGGTGTTGAAAGTACAATCGGCCCGCTCTTCAACACTTTGCCTTTCTTCAACAAGACTCTGAGTGGCCAGTCTTGGGCATCTCTGATTCACAAATGCAGCGAATTTAGCACGAGCATCTTGCCGTTTCAACACGTGCCCTTGAAGAGCATACAGAAGTGGTGCTCTGGAGGAAGGCAGCTATTCGACAATCTATTCGTCTTTGAAGTGCAGCAGCAGACCGCACAGGACGATAAAGATCTTTGGACGATCGAGGATGGGCCATTGAACCCGGATTATCCATTGGCTTTGGAGGCGAAGAGGCTGTTGAATGGCGATGTTCAGCTGACTCTTGTTGCACAGAGATTTGTGGCGGATGAGTCAAAGCTGCAGGAGATACTGGACGCGGTGGAGGAAAATATCGGACTCATGACTGCGGATGCGCCGTTCCCGAAATTCGCAGAAGAGAATGGCGTCGTTCTTCCAGACGGTCGAAACGGATTTGAGTCCCCTGAAGACGAGGCTGATGGCCATGACTTTGAGTGGACTGAACAGGCTCTCGGTATCAGAGATGCGATTGCTTCTATTTCAGGCCTCGATGCCTGCGGCATATCGGCCTCACAGACGATACTTGAGCTTGGCTTGGATAGCATTGATGTCATTCAGCTGTCCGCCAGGTTGAAGCAAAGGGGACTTGTTTTGCCAGCTTCTCAAATCATGCGCCAACGAACGATTGCAAAGATGGCCGCTTCCATCGAGGCACAACAATCCGGCGAACTGGTCAATGGGACGACTGACAAGTGTTTTGAAGAAACGGAGGAGAAGCTGTGGGCGTATGTCGACAAGGTCGGGCTGGACACAAGTAATATCGAGGCCGTTCTACCGCCGACACCTCTTCAAGAATCTATGGTTGCAGAGATGATTCACTCCGATTTTGAGTGGTACTTTAACCACGATCTTCTCGAAGTTACTTCTGGAACCGATATTGAGAAACTGCGAAGAGCATTTCTTGAAGTTATTGAGCGGTCACCGATCCTTCGGACAGGGTTCCTTGAGGTGGATGATTTGCAGCTTGAGATGGGATACTGCCAAGTTGTGCGGAAACACTGGAACCGAAACATCGAAACACTTGACGTGGAAGCTGTGAACGACTTACGCTCTCTTGTTGAAGATGCAAAGAGAGTTGCCAAAGAGGGCCGCGGACTGGAGGCCCTGTTCCAGCTGAGGTTCCTAGCCTGCAGAGGAAAGATGTTTGCGCTTGTGTCAATTGCGCATGCTCTGTACGATGGATGGTCACTTAGCCTGTTCTATCGGGATCTGGAGGCGGCGTATCAAGGCAACATGCAAACGCGAGCGTCTGCAAAGCCCTTTCTTCGGAAGATGCTTGCCTCTGCTACGGATGACGCGGATCGTTTTTGGGCAGGTTATCTCGACGGAGTCACGCCGTCTATTCTCCCCGAAGCACCGCATCACGATCTAGAAACGAAGACACTATACCGGAGAGAAGGATCTGCACACAAGTCCGTCTCCGAAGTATCGTCCTTTTGCAAAAAACAGAGCATCAGTCTGCAGTCCTTGACGCAAGCCTGCTGGGCTCTTGTGCTGGCTCATCGGGTTGGAAAGCTGGACGTCACTTTTGGCGTCATCATGTCCGGGCGTGATTTCGACGGCGCCGAGGACATCATGTTCCCGACGATGAACACTGTAGCAATTCGCTGTATCCTGCACGGAAGCTCTGCATCCTTCTTGCGGTATCTCGAGGCTAGCATGGCGGACGTCAGGGATCATCAATCGTATCCCTTGAGGAAGATCCAGAAGGCTGCGCAAGTGTCGAGCAGCGAGTTATTCAACACGCTGTTTATGCTGCAAAAGTTTCCCTATAGCTCGTCTGAGGATTCGCTCCTCAGGTCTGTAGATGGGGCAGCGGCGGTGGATTATCCTGTCAGCGTTGAAGCTGAGGCTGTTGGCGATGATCTTGTTTGGAGAGTTGCCTGTCAGTCGCGGTATGTTTCGGACGAGGGGACTGGAAAGTTAATTCAAGACCTGAACCACGTTCTAGAGTTCTTGGTCGACTCGGAGGATCGGGATATACTTTCTTTCCATGACGACGGTGTTTCAATAGGTGGATTGCCACACGTTTCACTGGCGACAGATGCGGCCCAAGTCGACGAGGTAGATGAGACGCACTCAGATACACAGCATGAGGAGGGTGAGCTGGGCGAGATGGTATCAGCGATCCGAAAAGTCCTTGGTTCCGTGTTGGACATCGCCGCAAAGTCCATCAGACCCGAAAGCAATCTTTACCATCTCGGCCTCGACTCCATCAGCGCAATCAAGTTGTCTTCTCTGTTACGGAAGGAAGGCATCTATCTCAGCCCGAGAGACTTCGTCAGAGCTTCGAGCATCACCCATATGGCACGACTTGCGACTCGCATCCAAACAAACGGCAGCACAATTCAGGCCAAGCAAGCAGTGTGGACTGCTGCAAAGGACATGGACGTCGTGAATCTACTGGCTAGTGTTGGCATTTCGGAAGGTGACGTTGAGATGGTTCTTCCGGCATTGCCTATGCAAGTCTACATGATCAGTGCATGGCAGAACGCCGAGGGGCACGTCTTTTATCCTCAATTCCGGTTTCGCGTTGAAGGGGCTGTCAGCGTTGAGCAGGTACAGTCGGCATGGCAGTCTCTTGTTGCTGAAATGCCGATTCTGCGAACCATTTTCGTTACGACGGATTCTTCTCAGCAGCCTATCGTTCAGGTCATTCTCAAGTCGGACTATCGATGCGCTGGTGATTCAACTACAATGAAGCCGATGGTGCGATTTGATGCTGTCAAGCGAGATGATAACCACATTGAGATGCGACTCAAGATTCACCACGCGCTCTACGACGGAGTCAGTATTCCGGCATTGCTGAGTCGTTTTACACAGCGTCTCAGGGGAACAGGTGCTGTGGTCGAAGAAGGACTTGAAGAATGGTCAAGACATTGCATTCAGCCTACACTTGAAGACTCTCGCCAATCACGCAGAAGCTTCTGGATATCGTACTTGCAAGGCTGCTCCTCAGACGAAGACTCTTTCGCCTCGCCCAAGGCAGGGAAGCAACGCGTGTCGTATCTACGGCAGGCTGCAGTGCCAGATATTGAATACCTTCAATCTGCAGCCAGAGGAAGAGGCATCAGCCTCCAGGCCCTGCTATTCGCAGCGTACGCCAAGATACTGGCCTCGGACGAGCTTACGGGTGTCGAGCACAATGATGGAAGCAAGACTGTCGTGTTTGGAATATATCTTGCAAACCGGGCTGATGAGGCTCTTCCATTGACGTTTCCGACGCTGAATCTCGTTCCGCTGAGGGTTCGACTGGCATCCAACGATGGGATTCTCGATATTGCCGAGGCGATACAGGAAGATATTCATCTCATCGCTTCTGAGGGCCGTGCCGATGTTGGGTTGTGGGAGATTGCTGCTTGGACGGGCGTCAAGGTGGCGTCTTTCTTCAACTTTTTAACTCTCCCTGACTCCTCTATTGGGGGAGAAGACGGTGATTCGACGTCAGTGCAACTGTTGCCGGTTGAAAGGGAGGATGTCAACAATGAAGTCCTTTTAGAAGGCGAGTCTGAGGAGGAAGTGTTGAAAGAAGTATCCCAGGTTTGTTTGGCGAAGAACACCGTCAGAGATGCGTTCCCGGTAAGTTTCCCCGTTGAGATCTCCAACACCCTATGTCGTATCAGATTGCTAATGGATATATATGTATACAGGCCGCAATCGACATTGAAGCCTCGATCCATGGGACAAGGCTGGATCTTGGAGTATTCGGGTCTCGACTACGAGTATCTGATGAGGGCGCGGTTAAACTGGTCGACGAGATGGTCTCGTGTCTACAGGGGTTGGATGATGATGAAGATGACGCGGAGATGGCGGCGTGGGCGTCGTCTTGGGTGATTGGGAATGGGAAAAAGACATGATATTGATAGAGCCCAAGTTTGTTTGGCAAAGGCGTTAGGACGAGGAAATTGCTAGAGTATTATTGATCCCGAATAAGGCCCTTGGTTGACAAAGTACCATTACGCACCGTCAAGATACAACAATACACAAGGTTCAACATGTATGACTTTTTGCATTTATTGTCATTAAACAAGCATGAGGAGATATATATCTATATATATCAGGTTTGCCGTCTCATTCTATCGAAATTTTACCCAGATAGTCAAGAAAATCTAGATGCCAGTGAAGCATACGGGTATCTCGTCTATAGCTTCGACGTCTTGGGCTTCCAGCCCTCCTCCATGGCAATTAGCTCGGCGGCTCGCTCACCAATGGCCAGCACCGTAAGCATGGGGTTGATGGTAGGCATCTCTGGGAAGACACCAGCGTCTGCAATACGCAACTTATTGATGCCACGGACCTTGAGCTCGTGGTCCACGACTGCGGCCTGGTCCTTGGTCACGTCGCCCATCTTGGTGGTCCCAGCAGGATGGTAGACGGTATGGGCGACGCGGCGAGCGTATTCGCTAATCTCCTCGTCCGTCTGCACCTTGGGGCCGGGCGCAACCTCCTCCTTCAGCCACTCCTTGAAGGGGCTTTGCTGGGCCACTTTGCGAGCCGCCTTGATGCCGGCGACAAAGGTGGCGGCGTCGTAGCCTTCGGGGTCGGTGAAGTACCGGAAGTCCAGCGCCGGCTTTACCGCGGGGTCCGCAGATGTCAAGTAGAGGCGGCCACGGGATCTGGGTCGGGGGATGTTGGGCGTCATGCAAAAGGCATAGCCATCCTGGATCCTGCGGTAGCCCAGCCGTTCAGTGTTGAGCGTAAAGGGGATTTGGTAGCAGTGCATCATAATATCAGCCGCGTTTCCGTCAGTACCAGCGGCGTTGGTGGGCTCTCGACGGAGGAAGAGACCGGCATCCGAGTCCATGGTTGTCTGGTTGGGAGGCACTGGCTTGTTGAGTTCCCAAATGATGATTGTCTCGGGGTGGTCGAGCAGGTTTTCGCCAACACCGGGAATGTCCTTGACCACGGGAATTCCCAGGCCCTCCAGCTGTGAGCGAGGGCCGAGGCCGGAATGAAGCATCAGGCGAGGCGTGTCCACTGCACCCGCACAGAGGATGATTTCCTTCCGCGGCTTGAGCACTACTCTCTCGCCAGAAGCCAAATGAACAATGATACCGCTAGCCACGTCGTTCTCGACCAAGATCTTGGAGACGTGAGCCTCCGTCAAGATGGTGAGGTTCGGCCGTCGCTCCTCGCCGCGCAAGATGGGATGAATATAAGCGACAGACGCGCTGCTCCGCCGGCCATCGTCCGGGTTGTACGACACATTGAAGAAGCCCGTACCCTGGGTGAGCTGGCCCTTTTCGCGAATTTCGGCGTTGAAGTCGTCAATGATGGGAACGTTGAGAGCAGAGGCGCAGGCTTGAATCCAGTCCTTGCACAACTGGTTGCGATGGCGTGCATGAACGGGCTGGAAGGTGTTGCGGAGGTTGTCAATGTGACGGGTGACGTTCTCAAAGGTCCAGCCCTTACAGCCCTGGGCCACCCAGCGGTCCATGTCATAGCGGAACGGACGGAAGGAAATGAGGGTATTGTGCGAGGAGCATCCTCCGAGAACCTTGGCGCGAGAGTGTCGAATATGGCTGTTGCCCATGGGCTGCTCCGTCGTGCCGTAGTCGTAGTCCAGGTCGCCGCCCAGCAGGCTCAGCCATTCTCGCAAGTTGAGGACATGGTTGAGGTTAAAATCTGAGGGACCAGCCTCGATGAGGAGGACCCGGCGCTCGGGCAAGTAGCTGGACAGTCTGGAGGCAATCACACAGCCGGCAGTGCCTCCACCAACGATGATGTAGTCGAAGGCAGAGCCGGCGTTGCTGGGAAGAGAACGGGTAGTCATGTTGTCCCCGAGGCTGCTGAGGATGGAGGAGTAGGTGGATGAGTGTGTGTCTCGGGAAGGCGGGGAGATGTTGAAGAGCCTGTCCTGACTAAGGGAGGTATAGATGGGTTTTGAACGCCACGATTCTCTTAAAGCCTCTAATCACATGGAAGAAGCCAGCCCAGGGGCTTGAACAGAGTTTGGCCTGATCCGTCCGGACTATGGTGTAACCGGCGAAATGTCTGCATCCAGAAGGATCTTGGCCCTCGACCTCGCGGGAAGGGGGAAGGCGGCGATATTTATCAGCATGCTGGACGAAGCGAGTCAGCCTCAGCTGCATATCCCTTGGCCATGCCATGGTCCTCAACGCAAGAGCCGCCTCTGCGGTACCTTGCCTTGCATATTCAAGGACAAGATGCCATGGCCGCTAACGGGGTACGGCTGGCACCGGAGTCGCCAGAGGCGTCATGGAGCAGCATGGATGGCCTCGTTCTCCAATTGTTCTGCGGTGGAGACGAACTCGGCGGATTTGGGTGTGTTACACGTCCTGTGAGCCTCTCCTGACCTGACGGGATGGTGCGAGACAACTATTACCTAGTAGTACTCGATGGAGACAATTGCTGATACCAGGCGCGAAAAGAGGGTAGCAAAGAAGGATCTCACGCGATTTTACCCAATAGGATCGATCGTCAGGGTTCCTGTCAAAACGAGCCCCAAACTTCGGCGCCATGGTTCCCTTTCTTTTCGTCTGGAGAAATTGGAGAATCGAATGAGAGAGGGCGAAATGGCGTTTTGCCGCACAGTGTGTCATGTTGGCCATGACGTCAAAGTCGAGTCCCTTTCACGAGAGGCATCGTGGTCCATCTTGCCATCCAAAGCCGTTCAGGGTCATTCCAGCAGTTGGTCCGAGGGATCCAGGGCTGGCAGCACAGTGTGCCAAGAGCTGACATTCGCCCGTCGGCACGAATTGCGGGGAAGAGGCCGGTGTTGATGCTGCTTTGAAGCCATTTCGAGCCGTTGGTCTGGCGAGGATGGCGATGATCTTGGCTGGTTTGAGGCGTCGGACGAGTTTGAGGCCAGGCTTAGCTGATGCAGGAGGGCGGAGTGGAGCATGACTAAGAGACGGGGCTAGGTTGATCCGGGCAGTAAGGCGCGTGCTGATTGGCTAACACGGGCGAGGGATGGCTGACTCTCCACCCAAAGTACCTACTGTACCTCGTCCTGTACAGTTTGGCGTCACTGTATGGGAGACGATTCCTCCAACCTTGGCGTGTCGTTTGCATCGAGTCTCGCTGCCAGTCGGGGCAATGATGATGCTGCTTGCGGTGGCTGTCGAGGTTTCTTTTAACCCAACCACAGCTGAACTACCCGAATAGAGAATGAGATGCAACAGCGCCTTGTCAGCACCAGTACATACTGTACGGTACAAGTATGGTTGTTCCAGTCTTGCTCAAGGGTGAAAGGTGAAAAGCTCCCTCCTCTGTTCCTCTGCAACCATCTCGGACCAGCCCTGCAGACGACCCGACCACTCCTACTCCTACCTCACCTTATCTTTGCTGACTGCCAAGCATTTCGTTGGCCAGTCACTACAATTCCTGATACTATATCACCTAGGAGGCTCTACCACCCACGGCTTCGAGTCGTGATACGAGGACGCACGCATCTAGGACAAGTCTTTGCGAGTTCTGCAGATGTTACGAATACTACTGCCTCCTCCTCTTAAGCCGAGCCGGCTCAGCAACAACAAGGCATTTCGGAGACTCCACCGCCGGACCGGGATTCACCTGGATACCCTCTCCTGTCGGTCCCCGAGGATCCATCGGTGACGTAGCCCGGGTTTTTCCACCTGTCCCTCGCCTCTGTTTTGCAATTTCTCTGTTGCCCGCCGTCTGCCTGCTTTCCGGATGCAGGTAAACGCTCTCACGGCCTACAGTAGCGTGTCTGAGCGGTCGTATAACTACCCGTAGCACTTGGGGCGGTCTCTCAGCCCCAGACAAGAGGCGCTCAAGACTGGAAAGCCCCAGTCTCTGTCACCCCACAGTGACATTCTGTTGCTGCGTCCCTTGAGGCGCGAGGTTGTGCTTCGCAGTACGGAGTATTTGTACACTGTTTGACTGATTCCTCGTGCTGATTCTCGCTCATCAGATCCATCATTTGTCCCCTCCTCAACTAGAAAAAAAGTTGCCTTGCCCTGGCCACTGTGGGGACTCGAGGGAGAAGCACTTGACAGATAATCGTATGCATTACTCGTGAAGTACTACCTTGGGTAGTGTGCCGTTGACGGAGCTCCCCGTTCCTGGGCCTGTACCGTTGCAGACAAGATCGACGTCACCGTCAAGCTCCTCCCAGACTTTCTCTCTCACCACCACCACCACCACCAAATCGCCATCCAAACGACATCAATCAGGCGCCGTGACAGACCTCCTGGTTGATTGCACTGAAACGTCTCTCAAGATCATCAAGATGACCTTTTCACGGGAAATTCATACCTTCCACTCCGGCAAGCCACAGCCCCAATCCTCCGGACCCCACACCTTTCAGTCCCTCGATCCCAGTACCGCCAAACCGCTGGCTACCATCTACACCACAACGCCCTCACAGCTCGACGATGCCGTATCTTCTGCCGCCAAAGCGTTCCCTGTATGGTCCAAGACGCCCGCTCCCAAGCGCGCATCCATTCTCCTTCGAGCTGCCGCCATCCTGAGAGAGCGAAACGACGCGCTGGCCCGCACCGAGATGCTCGACACGGGCAAGGCTTGGTCTGAGACGTCAACGGTTGATGTCGTGACTGGAGCTGATGTTCTGGAATACTACGCGCACTTCATTGCCAACAGCCAGCCCGGCCAGCACACGACACTACGGCCGGACGCCTACATCCTCACCACCCACGAGCCTCTGGGAGTGTGTGCCGGCATTGGCGCCTGGAACTATCCGATACAGATTGCTCTGTGGAAGTCTGCCGCCTGCCTCGCCGCCGGAAACTGCATGGTATACAAACCGAGCGAGGTGACGCCTCTCCATGCAAACACATTAGCCGAGATCTACATCGAGGCTGGCGTTCCCCCCGGAGTCTTCAACGTCGTCTACGGCGATGGTCCCAGCGTCGGAGCGCCCCTTGTCGCCCACCCGGGTATCGCCAAGGTCAGCTTCACCGGCCAGATCAGCACGGGTAGCAAAGTTGCCAGCGAGGCGGCCAAGGGCATGAAGAGCATCACCATGGAGCTGGGCGGCAAGAGCCCGCTGTTGGTCCTCCCAGACGCAGATGTCGACGAGGCAGCTGATGTTGCCATGGCGGCCAACTTCTTCTCCACCGGCCAGGTCTGCACAAATGGCACCCGAGTCTTTGTCCCTGACACGCTGTTGTCGCGCGTGGAGGAGGCCGTGGTCAAGCGCTGCCGAGAGGGCATCCGCATGGGTCTGCCCCAGGACGAAAAGACAAACTTTGGCCCTGTTGTCAGCGCCGCTCAGCGTGACAAGGTTAACATGTACATCCGCCATGGCAAGGAGACAGATAAGGCAAAGGTTCTATACGACGGTGCCGTGGATGCCCAGAAGCACAGACCGACACCTGACGGATACTGGGTCCCGCCCGTTGTCTTCACCAATTGCACCGACGACATGCGAATCGTGCGCGAAGAGATCTTTGGGCCCGTCATGGCCATATTACCGTACAAGACGCAGGGCAAGTCTCAGGAGGAGTGGCTGCCAGAGCTCATTCGCCGCGCAAACGACACCGAGACGGGACTTGCTGCCGGCGTTGTGGCTACAGACGTGGGTTTGGCGCAGAGCGTAGTCAAGGAGCTACAAGCCGGCATAACCTGGATCAACACTTGGGGAGAATCTCCCGCCGAAATGCCCGTAGGTGGGTGGAAGATGAGTGGCATTGGCGTCGAGAATGGTTTCGAGGGCATCAAGGCATATATGCGGATCAAGAGCACATTGGTTCAGCTCGGCAAGGGAACGACAAAGGGTCTGTTTGCCAAGTTGTAGACACGCTCTGGAGAATATCGTGCTGCGGACGTATATAGCGACATGCATGTAGATACCTGTTAAAAGACGTCATGAGGCCAATGTGCGAATTAACGAATGTTTCTCGAGGACTTGCTGTGATAAGTGTGGAGTCTTGAAAAAGCTACTCTATCAGGCAGATCTAAATTCCTTAAGCCTTGATAACCTCAAGATACTGGTTGACCAAACTCTTGACCTGCTCGTCAAACCCAGCCAGCTTGAAACCAAACGTTTCCTCCGTCTTCTTGGCGTCAAGGCGGATGCGAATGGTCGGCTGCTTTCCAGTCGTCTTCAAAAGTCCCTTCTCGATGGCTTCCGGGTAGTTCTTTTTGATGATGTCGATGGCATCCTCCCAATCTTTCCCGTTAATGTCATCTGCTACAGCGAGAAAGGCTTGGTTGCCGGGAATCTTGGGATCCAGAGCCAGAATGTGAAGCTTTGCGCAATCGTCAATCAGCACTGATCCGACGTGGGATGCAACCTCGGACTGCGAGCCTCGGAGAAAAGCAAGGAGTACAGAGTTCGTCGAGCTGGACTCAAAGTCTTGTGGCGTCGTGGCCAGCTCGTCAGCACCCCAGATCCAGCCAGGGAGAATGCTGATCAGGTCGAAACCGGGCTTGTTCTCCGCAACCCACGCCTCAGACTCGTTCAGAGCAGCAGTCTTACTGGCGGCGTAGGCCTGCATCTCGGAGCCATAGGGCCCCTTGTCGACGGGGATGCGGGTCTCGGCGGTAAAGATCTTGTCGTCTCCTTGGCCGAGGTAGTACTGGTAGGGAACATTGGCGACAATAGAGCTGGTGATGACGACGCGCCGGACCGTGCCGGCCTTGCGGCTGCTCTCAAGGAGCCCAATTGTCACTCGGCGAGCGGGCTGGATGAAGAACTCGTGGTAGTATTCTTGAGTTGGTGCCACGCCGCCGAAGCTGGGGATGGGAGAGGCGCAGTGGATGACATGGGTCGCTCCCTTGAGGGCTTCGTCAAAGGCGCCGGGCACTTCCATGTTTTCAATGAGGACATGCGAGAGCTGCTCTGCGGAGGGATTGAGGGCCTTGATGGAGGGCGCGTTGAAGACTTTGTTGGCTTTGGAGGCGGATCGGACGACGATGCGGACGTTGTAGCCTGCCTTGAGGGCCAAGACGAGGACTTTGGAGCCTAGGAAGCCGGTTGCTCCTGTGAGGACGAGAAGGTTGCTGTTGGCCATGATTGTTGAAGGTTGATATTGAGTAGCTTGAGAGTTTTGTTCCCGTCACTGCGATGGTCACGAAATTTGTGATGAAGTGCTGAGTGAATGATCTATGGGTCATAGTCTTCTCCTACATTGCGAAAGCTCCATCTGATACTTATATATGTACTCTGTCCAGAAGTTCTCATCAACGAGCATGCCTCGACACGGAATTACAGAGTTGTCCTCAGAATTAATCAGCCTCCGCATATGCATTATTTGAAGCCCAGATGGTTACCATTCTGATCATGCTGCCCCCCCGCATCCTCCATGGAGATCCTTTCCACCCTCCATGACTACCACCATTTGCAGTTTCGAGGCAACGGTCCATCAGCAGCTCAGCTCAACGCTGCTCTTTAACCAGCAGCATCTTGAGTCGTGACGGTTGGTGGAGTCGATACACCAACTTCCCAATTCGGCAAATGGTGTCTATAAGGGTTGAATCTCGCGAAGGATACCCCAGGAGGTTGAAGCATGCTGAATTTTAGAATGACCCAAAGCAATGAAAGACTTATGAGTTGACAAGATTGCTACAAGCAGGCAGCAAGCGTATGATTTCAATGAAGACACATGTGTCTATTTTGACAGTTTCTACCGTTCGCTGCACAGGGGTGAAAGGGGTACCCAAGTGTTGCTCGTTATTCAACCATCACTTCGAAGTTGTGAATCTTGAGTATTAGACTCGTAGAATCTACAAGTAGGACTACAATGTGGCAAATCACATTACCTAGGTAGTGAGCGGCAATTCAGCAAAACTTATACCTTAGATGCTTGGGCATAAGAGGTCTTGTGGAGAATCATTGACTAACTACCTATGTATATTACAAATAACACGAACCGACTATAGTGGGCTCCCAGGAAGCTGTCCATAGACATGCCTTGAGGTCCCATGGGGTAAAGCAACAAGCCATTACGAGTACATGACAAACCAGTTACAAAGACGAAGTAATTCCTATCTTCTTTTCCTTACCGATGGTCCAGGCACCAGCGAGCCCTCGATAACAACCAAACCAGTAAACCCCTGAACATACACACCCCGCCTAAGGGCCTGAATAGTATGCTTAGAAATCCAAGAATTGGTCCGCCAAGCCCGAGAATTGGATCATTTACTCGTATAAAAGCCCATGTGCCACGTCGAGAACAAGTCAAATTCCGTAAGCATCAGGATGTCGTCAACGCCGTTTTCGAGAAGGACAGGAATCTTGATCTCGTGAAGCTGATCGTAGCAGCTTTCAGGTGCAAGCCCAAGCTTGCCCAGTAATGGAATGCGTCGAACAAGGCCATGGTGCCTCCAGCCCCGTTATGGTCCGATCTCTTGAGGGCGAGTAGTGTTCATACGCTCCCATCAGCTGTAACGTCGAAGTCGCTGCACGAATGAAGAGAGCAAGATCTAGGTATACAGAAAACTGCCGGGCTTCTCTCGTTGTTAAGAAGCCGTGACGGGATGTCCGAATAAAGCCGCTTCGCCAGCCATGCTCGACAAGAACGGTTTCGCGAAAAGAGTTGGACAATAGAGAGCCGTCAACTGAATACAAGTCTGCCATCGAGATATGAATAGAGCAGGCTAATCTTGGGAATATCGAAGTGCCGGGCGACAATGTCACGTATAGGACAATGCCGCTACTTTACCAACGTTGAAAGTCCTCTGAAGGAAACGGTTTCACGGATGGTTGCGATTATATCGATGAGCGAGGAGTGCCCGTGTTCAGTGGTGTCTCTAGGATGATGAGATTCACCGGAGGGGCAGGCTTCTTCGTAGCTGAATCGGCGCGGCGATGGGCTGGTTGGGCAGAGGATATTGAAAATGATTCGCGTGCTCAATCTTGAACCTTATCGGCTGCTTCTCTGTGCCACTTATTGTATTTCCTCCAAGACCAGACTATGTAGCTTGCCGTTTATCACAGTGACTCTAACCGCTCGTCGTGTCATCCAAATAGTCAATGCTCCAACGCCCATCACTTATTCTGCCACCAAGACACCGCGGTACCTCATCTTGCCCTCTCGCAGGGCCTTCATCGCATCCTCTACACCTTGGGTGTTCAAGGGCCACTTCATGATGGCGGGCTTGATTCCGTGCTGCTCGGCAAAGTCCAGCATCTTTCGGATCTCAGCCCGAGGTGCCCCTGCCGAGCCCTGGATGCTGATGCCTTTGACTAAGAGCGGCAACATTGGCACGGGAGATGGTTCAAAGCTCACAGTCAGGTTGTATATCTTGCCGGCCGATGCTGTAAGCTCAATGATACTGTGATAGAACTTCTTAGCACTGCTCTATGCTTGGTCATGATTTGTCGCTTACCGGTTGTAATCAGGCTGCGCATTTCCGCAGAGCAGCATATGCTTGACTGGTTTGATTCCCTCCAGGGATGAGTCGGCAGTCAGAACATGGAACTCGCTTGCACCGAGCCTCATTGCGTCCTCTCTCTTGGACTCGCTGCTTGAGAAGACGACCACCTTGCAGCCCATCTTGGCTCCGAACTGGATGGCTAGATGGCCAAGGCCGCCGATACCCAAAATGCCGACCCTATCACTTGGGCGAATCCCGTACAGAGAATAAGGTGTCCAGACCGTAGCTCCGCCGCACATCAAGGGAGCGGCATCGGCACTATCGATGCCATGGGGGATCTTGAAGAGGGCATCGGCATCCCAGACGGCGTGGCTGGCGAAAGAGCCAACATCATGGTCATGAGTGCCAAATTGTGCCCTGTTGTCGCAGTACGAGTCCAGTCCTTTCCTTTTGGTCAGCTGAAGGGTCAAAGAAGCATCAAGGCGGTCAAATTACATACCAGTCAGGCAATATTCGCATCGTCCGCACGTCTTGTGAACCCAGCCGAATCCGACTCGATCACCGACTTTGACTGAGGTGACATCTGGACCAACAGCCTCGACCAGGCCAATTCCCTCATGGCCTAGAACAATGCCACGGCAAAGGTAATGCTCATCGGTTCCGCATAAGCCAGAGTGCGTGATTTTGACGTAGGCATCGTTGCGGCCCAGTTGTCGGTGGGAGGTATCCTGCACGATTTTCCCGCTTTGGGATCCTCGTTGGACAGTGAAAGTGACGTTCATGCTGGAAATTGTGTGACTTTCTGTCTCGTCTTGAATTGAGATGATGAGCTGACTGAGTGTATGTGGCCTCTGATATGACTCTTAATTGTGAGAACATCTATATGGCGAGGACACAGCATTATATAGCGCTCTCCCCATACACTCCAATTCCACTCGGTAAAGATTGCCGGGGTAGCATTAGAAGACCATGGAATGTAACCCCTGCGTTGAGGCGGGTATCCACGATCACGTCACGCTTTAGTAACATCGATCAAGTGTACGATGTCATCGCTAATCCGACGAAAATGCACGAGGTTGAGGAGCAAGAGGAGGAGGCATTACGACTCTTGGTCGTGCAGTAGCCAGCAAATCCATCAGCAACAGGCCTACACCAATGCGGCTAGAGACGCGATCTAAGCCCCCAATTACGGTTGAAACAGAAGAATCTGACAAAGTACTCGATACCCCTGGATCATCTGAATAGTCGGGGATGGTGGCAAAACTCGAGACTGTTATCTCAAGCAGGAAAATCTGGATATGCTGGGGGGAGAGACGCCAAGTTTACTAATGCGCACCGTTTGCTTAATCGGGGAATTTTCAAATCGACGGATCAATGTGGAGCATCGTCCACTGTGGGCAAGTTTCCACAACTGCTTATTATACGTGAGAGGCTGGGCTTAACAACAGAACAATATCGAGATTGGAGGGATTGGTTCTACAATCATGAAACTTGTCAAAGAGTCATAGATGGCATCAAGTGGGCGAGATGCCAGCAGGCAGTCAGACACCGCGTCATCTTGACTGGATTTGTAAGAAGGACTGTAGTAACAGCCTCGTGTCAAAGAGTTGTCTACGATTCTTGATGATCCACAGCTATATATTAACTCCCTTTTCCCGACCCAAACTCCTCGAATCCTGTCGCAATCATCCCCTACGGCGTCCTACCGGTCACAATCATCAATCTTGCAGCGGCTGTCCTCTTCTGCATTACGGCGTTGGCGTTGATACGGATTCCGGCAACCCATCGGGTCTGCCATCACCAGCTGGAACGACCAGATAGTAAAGAGCGGTAGAGATAGAAGCCGACTTGCCTGATGGAGTCTGTGGCTTTGCTCAGGATTTGACAGAGCAGAGCCTGTTCTTGCTTCATGGCGGACCCCGCTGGATCAAAAGGTCAACTTCTAGTTGATACCCTACACCTCACTCTTCACTATTGATGGATATTTGCCAAACAGTCTACTCTCTGATGCCACCAGGCTTGAACAAGCCTATTGGAACAAACTCTTCTATCATGAGATCAAGAAATGACCAAGAGCACAACATAATCGATGAAGCGTACCTTGAATTGATCAATATCCAGTGTTGATTTACCACGGCTTCATGTGAACATAACTCTGTTAGTAAAAGGTGAAGCATTTTCACAATGGTAACCATGGTAACTCTCCACTTTCCAGGTTGGAATATAGTTTCAAGGTATGCTCACCGTCATTCAGGCATCTTCTTCTACAGCAACATAGAAGGGTCCAGGCCATCCTTCCCGGTAGAATCCTAAGTAGAGGACAGAATCAACATAACAGCCTATGGAATTGCATATCCCAACCCATACAGAATAGGCCTATTTCAGACTTCTTTCTCCACCAGCACTTTGATTGAGATAGAATTGACGATGAAAAGCAAACATGTCATCGAAATAGCAAAACTCCGGAATGCCAAGCTCAAACTCGTGAGGAATGTTCTTATAGCTCTCCTTTAACAATGCCAAAAGCTCTTCCCCGTCGTTCTTGCTCATGGGAAGGACTCTGTATGCAAGAGCGAGATGAAATACATACGACTCGTGTCCATTGGCTCGGATCTGTAGCAGCTCAGACAGCCTGTCACGGAGTCCTCTCAAGCGCTTCTCTTCCGTCGCGTCAATCGGTGCCAGGTCGAGGCGAATGCCGGCTTTGCTCATGATGATTCCTGTGACAGCCATTCTCAGAGGAGTCTGGATTCCAACATCAAACTTGGAAAGCTTCTCGTGAAAGAGGTCATGGCAGCTCTGCAACGGTGCATCAAGGGCCAGGTCCTTGGGCCACACGCCAGGCTTGCGCCTCTGATCGCATACGCCTTCAAAGACTGTCATATGCCAACTAGTCGGGGGCAGAAGAGCGTAGAACTTGGTAAATCGACTCTGCTGAAGCTTCTCGTGAATTGATAAAAGCGCCTTGAATAGCTGGCTGTCCTGCGGGAGGTGGCAGACGATTGTGTTGCCTGGAAATGGCAAGACATTGCCGTTGGTGTCGAACTTCTCCCCGGCCCTTTGGGCGGTGGCCGGATGGATGCTCTGCGGGATGTTGGCGGCAGTTGGAGCCATTACGGCTGGGCATCTATCAAAGTGTGATCGGACGATGAGATGCAGCGATATACCCGTCTATGAAGACAGCAGCGATGAATCTAAAACATGAATGAAAATAGTAGCAGTGTCTTTTCTTCCGCTGCGGACAGCTGTTTGCGTTGTTGCTCAAGAGAGGGGTAAGGATGCTGAAAAAGGCCTTCAAGAGTGGTGGTGACACAAGGCATACTTACCACCCCTTTGCCCAGACTTTGCAAGGTAGTACCACAATGTCTCAGATCACACAGTAGCCTGCCGTGATGCTTATCCCTGCCGACGCCCTATCTGTGACCGAGCCTTATAGATGACTCTGACCCCAGGTAGACGGTTAGAAGCCGAGCTTAAATCACCTGGTGACATTCCCAACTTAGACGGCTTGCAAAGAGCCTAATTGCACCAACTGCAATGCTGAAGATCTGTGAGATGTCCGGGCATCTTCCGAGAGCCAGCCACATCTGGGATCAGATTGCCGAGGTGCTGTGTCGGGTTTCGGCATCACTGAAGCAGTCCGTAATCTCGCTAGCACACTGCCACAGAGGCCGCTACTAGTAGTATAGCGAATCGTGGCTTACGCGATGCAGTTGAGATGGCGGGGGCCAGTATCGAAGATTCAATGACAAGGGTGTCCCAAGCGTCCGTGAGGCCGTGAGTCAGGATCGTGAAGGATCGTGTGTGTTGGTTGAATGTCAACTGAACGGTGATTTTGGACGGTATCGCCGATGCGGAGTGACTCAAAACTTGGAAGAGTCGACTCTGACAGTGGTTGGTAATCTCGTTGCTTTCAACCTGAAGCTCTCTAGTTGCAGGGGTTTCGGCACCCAGCAGATGGATGGCCTGCATGACATTAAGCCATCCGGCCGAGTGGCAAAGGTGAAAGATGGACAAAGAAGGGATCAATCCGAATAAATAGAGACAGCAAAGGATCGGGAACGTTACAAGCAAGTCCACTGGGAGTCGCAAGTCGCCCAGTCATATTTAAGAAATCCACATCAAATCTTCATCTGACGCCTCTCCTACCAACAGCAGTAAGGGCTATATCCGGCATCCACACGGATGTAGAATCCCCGCCGCCGATTTCCCTACGTAAGCAAGCCTTGTGACAAACCGCTTTCAGTTACATGAACCTATCACATCCTCACTCAATGGCCTTCCGAACTCCTTTTCCTCACAGACAACTTCAACTTCAACAAACTTGATACTTACGTCAACTCGCACAATTCGCTATCGTTACATGTTCCCGGCCCTGATATCGGCAATACTAGTTTCGGTTTACTCAATGGATCGAGAATCGTCACCGCGAAAGCCTGCCCTGAAGCGTAACTCGACCGCCTGCGAACACTGCCGTGCAGCCAAGGCCAAGTGTCAACCTAGTGAGCAGCCGGGCGTGTGTAGGAAGCAAGTGTGGAACATAATCAGTGGCCTTTGTCCCTTTTACTTATATCCGACAGGTGTCTTGCATCGAGGAGGGAGTGCGTGTCTCGGACAAAGGCCCGGCCTCGTAGAACACGGAGAGCGGTCTCGTAAGGCTCACACAACATGTCTACAAGACCTGAACTTCCACCCCAGTATCACCTCCTCTCTAACGCATTGCTTCTCCACTCAGAAGCTCAGACGCGGAGCCGTCGCCAGAGTCCTTGGGCCAGTCCAGCACGTTCAGTATCAACTATTTCACGCCACCCAGGCCAAATGTTGACGACAACTTCGCGACTCTTCGTGAGGTGCACAACTGTGCCTTTGACAACTTGCTCGAAATCGACTCAAGCAGCGACATTCTGCAGACGCCGAGTGCGTCAATCTGCTCCACCTCGTCATCCCAGCCTCGCTCTCTCTTCGACACTTGGCGGAAGCCCCAATTCAACCTGGCTTCAGCCGAGGCCCTCCTAACCTCCTTCGACTGCATGGTGGACTACATTCCCTTTATGACCTTGCCTGCTGGCTCGACCGTAACTCATGTGGCTTCAACGAGGCCCTTTGTTCTATTGGCTATCTTGACTGTGGCCTCAAGATCGAGAACAGTGCAGAAGCACTCGTTGTACGATGAAGAGTTCCTGAGAGTTCTGGGCCTCAAGTATGTGTCTGGTGGAGAAAGGAGTGTTCAACTATTACAAGGCTTGTTGATATACTGCGCATGGTAAGTGGGCCAAGTATGTTGTTGAGTACCTGGCTTCTCTCTGCTCACGGTTTGCCACCAGGTATCCCTTTCATCTAAAGCCTAAAAGCGCACAGTTGGCTCACTGCATCCGCATGGCTGCGGACATTATCCATGAACTCGGCCTGGATGAAAACTTTCTTGCCTCTAACTTGTGGGGGCAAGGGGTGACGGAGGAGGAACTCGACAAGATTCGTGCTTATCTCGCCTACGTATATCTTGTCTCTACGTGAGTCAATGGATATCGATAACCTCTTTGTCGCAGATGATTCTAACATGCTATTGCTACCAGATACGTCGTTGTATGGAAGGGGGAAAGATGCGTGCCGACTCGGCTCCCTGCTTGGGCCAACATCGCCATTGACACCTTGGAGCAGAATGCCCAAACAGAAAATGATCGCATGCTGGTCGCCTTGGTCCGCTTGTCCATACTATGCTCGGATGCCTCCGATGCCATGAACGAGAGAATAAAGGATACTGTGCGAAACAGCCAGTTGATCCTCGTGGGGCTTGAGCAGCGGTATCAGCAGATACGAAGCAATATCCTGGCTACATGCCCCGGAGCCTTTGGTAAGTATGACGATCAGGACATAAGCATGATGTCAAACTCACCAAATAAAAGACAGGGAAACCATTCGAATGCAGGCACTGTTCCTCGACATCTTCTTCGACGCCGGCAGCCTACTCGGGTTTCCAGTGGCTGGGACGCCATCGCCAAGTTTGAAAAGTGAACGCATCCCGCCGCCAATACCCAAGATATACAGCGCCACGAAAAAGATCCGGGTCTTCTTAGACTACGTAGGCGATCTAGACGATAATGCCTTGCTCTCGTTTACCGTCAACGACTGGACTCGACTTATCGTTGTCCTCACGCTGGCGTTCCGGCTCTCTTTTCCGCTCTCTCTCTGTCCAGAATTCGACTGGACTTGGGCAAGCTCTCAGATACAGCTTGAACAGTTCCTTTCCAAAGTCTCGCGTGACGCTGATACAGTCGTTGCTTCCAACGGCATCCTCTCAGCCAACCGCGTTGTTTTCGGCCTCTTGAAAACCAAGTTCAACCGTCGACTCGATTCCGTCGGAGACGAACCCACCATTCCAAGCAGCAGGACATTTGGATGCCCCATGATGAGTGGCGGCTCGAGTCTGGCTGACGCACAATGGAGTTCAGAATTCGCGCCGTCGGAGCCGTCGACGGATTCTGACATGTCTGACATGGTCTTTCACGATATGTGGACGGCAGTGGCTACGGGATGGCAAGACGTTGGGGACGTACCCTGGGAAACATTTGACGAGCAGTTGAACAGCGTGGGCACTTGTCCTGCGAGTGGCTGGTCCATATAACGTACACTATCATCATAGAAGGGTATAAGCAGAGACTAATGTAATAATATGATCACATCTATCCGTAGTCTTTTCATCTTGCCTCTGATATGGGACCCCTGCATTTCATGTCATCACTGATTCAACACGGTAGACAAGTCAGTCTTCTCGCAGTACTCCCTAAAAGAAGTCATTCTGATACCGTACTACACCAACGGAGTCAGTGCCAGCTTCTTCTTTGAGCTATCAGCTGGGAATACGCATCACGTACCTTGCCCGGCCCAACAACCCCCGGCTCAGCGCCCTCGTAGCCAAACTCAAACGCAAAGAGCACATTCAGACCGAACTCATGCCCCAGTCCACCCGGCAAGATCTCCGTGATCTCTTCGTACGAGAGCTCATCAAAGCCTCCATACTCGAGACCCTTTGTCTCGCAGACGATGCGGAGATAATCTGTCCAGGAGAGATACTCTCCGACGGCAAAGAGGTTTGTGTTGGGGGGTGCTTGCTCAACAACAGCTTTGACACAGGGGCCAAGATCTGTGCGAACGTCACCAAAGGGGATGGGCTTATGACCTGGCCCAGGTCCCATCATTCGATAAGTCCCATCGGCTTGCTTAGAGCAGCATCGTACGTCAGTTCAAAAGGCCAAAATCAAGCGAGGCAATGTCTGCGTGATGCTTACCTTCTTTGGCGTGATAGGCAAGCCCCATTCCGTTCCAACCTGGTAATACACCGGAGCCTGAACTTGCGAAAACTTACCATCCAGCGCCTCAAGGCTCTGCGCGTATACTGCGGCACGAGCCTTTGAGTCCATGTGATACAGCGTCTTGTACTTGCCGCCACTGGACTTGGTTGCATCAGCCATTGAGCTATATACATACATCTCCAGCGTTGAAGCCGTTGAGGCGGCGGCATCAGCAAGATTCTTCCCATGCCTCAGCTCAACCTCGTAGCAATACTCAACAAGCTCCTGCTCAGGCCTTTTCAATTCCTTGCTACGAGGATCACCCCATATGTTCCAGAAATCTGTAACCCCAAAGATGACATTGGCACCGTGAAAGGCTCGTTCAAGGGACTTGACATCGTCAAAGTCTCCTTGAACTATCTCGACCCCTTTGGCTGCCCAAGCTTTGGCTGCCTCGGAGGCGGGATTGCGAGTTACGCCGCGGAGGGTGTAGCTTGGGTCTTTGATGAAGGCGTCAGCCACGGAGCTGCCCTGGAGGAGGTCAGTAAGGAGCAGGGACGGGATAGATGAGGAGCAGAGCTAACTTGGACGCCGGTGATGCCTGTGATGACAATGAGTTTCGTCATATTTCTGATGGGCGTCCGTAGTTGGATAGGCCTGGAGTATCGTGTAGCTGCCAGCTCAGTTATGCGATCACAATCTCTTTGAAATCCTGGCGTGAATGATCTGTTGCATACGACACGTAAACTGACCTGACCTCGACAGGGTTGACGTGATACATATTGTATCTGATCTGGGCTCTAGACAGGTTGAAGTAACAACTGGGATTTCATTCACTGCTCTTCTTCTTCGCATCTTCTTGCCATTTTGTCGCCTTCTTTCTCATCATTTCCGGCAGTAAAGACAACTCTTCCGAGTTTAATAATCAACCCCCCAGCTGTTCAACCCTTCACTATAATAGCTTCCAAACATCTCGGGAGGCTATTTGCAACTCAAGTGACGACCATTTTCATTTGTAAGAATTTGGCGTATGTTTCGGTAGAAGTTGCCAACCATTGCGTACCAAGTATGTGTGACCAGGAGGACCGATATCCTGTTTAGGGTTACTGTACCTCACTTGCCATTTTAGGCAGTCTGGCGGCGAGCCGTTGGACGCCATCTTTTTCAATTACTGTACGAGTAGCAGCTCCTAATGAGGCAGATACTGTAGCATCACGGGTTAGCCTACATTGATAGAGGGAATTATCTTGAAGGAAGCAACTATGGCGTCTATGCTGTCGTTTTGATAATGAAGCATATAATAAGACGGTAAGATTTGTCATTCCCGTTTCGCAGGCAGAAAGCAGACGTGTCCATCAGTTAATTCCGGTTTACATGACAATAGGTATATAAGCCATCTTCCGCAGTTGCCAATACAGTTTCCTCATGAGAAGAAACATATTCACCCTACCAAAGCTTTAGGAATCTCGGTTAAAGAAGTTAAAAATGACAGACAGTCTCGCCCTCACCAACAAGATCGCCATCATCACCGGCTCAGGCCGTGAAAACGGCATTGGCGCAGCCATCGCCCTGACCCTCGCCAAAGCAGGAGCCCGTGTAGTGATCAACTACGTTTCCGACGCTACTTCCTCTCGCGCAGAAGTTGTTCGATCTAGAATCGAAGCTGCTGCTGGAAAGGACAGTGTTGTTGTGGTGAAGGCTGATGTCTCTACTGAAGAGGGTTGCAAGAAGATTGTTGGGGAGGCGCTGAACAAGTTCGAGGTTGATCACATTGATATTATTGGTATGACAGGCCTCCCTACGTCGCAAAGACAGTACAACAGAGAAGCATGGGATAGACTGACACATATGCCCAATCAGTCAATAATGCAACCGCCGTAACCGTTGGCCCAGTCCTTCGGAACAGCGCAGAAGACATCTCCAAGGCCTTTCAAGTCTCCGTCCTAGGCCCCATTCTCCTCCTTCAGGAGGCTTACCCTTACATGCCTCAATACTCCCGCGTCATCAACATTGGTACTGTGGCATCAAGATTGGGCTTTGGCCCTATGCCGATCTATGGTGCTGTGAAGGCTGCCATGGATCAGTTGACTTGGAGCCTAGCCCGCGAGGTGAATAATCTTCCCTAGCCTATATGTCATGACAGTAAAGAGAAACAGATCGATCAGCTGTTGGATATGATGTTACTGGAGAACTCAGAAGCTGATGGCGTTGTTTCAGATCGGTCGAGATGGCAAAAACATCACCATTAACACAATCGCTCCCGGCCCCGTCAAAACGGACAACTTGCCAGACACACCCCAAGCCGCGGCCCTGACAGACTGGCTCGTCTCGCTCACTCGAAACGAGGAACGAATTGGAACGGCAGAGGATATAGCTGATGCGGTTTTGCTCCTGGCTAGCGAAAAGGCTCGCTGGATTACGGGACAGTTTATCTCCGTGAGCGGTGGCATCAACGGAGGTTGATCAACAACACGACATGAGTCAGAGTACCAAGGACACAGTTCTAGATATGTGCTAGTTGGAACATGAGGTGGCTCATGAAGAACATGGCAAGTTAACAATTCATGAAGCCTTCGTATCTGGACCAATTGCATCTAGAGATAGGGTTATACTCGAATCTTTGGTATTAAAGACTACTCATTATGTAAGTGGGTATGTTGTGTGTATATACGAGAGCATACATCATGACGACATGAATTTGTACATTTCTTTTTCTCCCTCTACGGTGCACCACCTTGCGACTGTACAACAGCTTACAGAGGAACCGGGAGGTTTCTCTCGAGGTAACCGCGCCAGGTAGGCAGGGTTCGCTTGTAGGGAGTGTTGCTGTTCTTCTGCAGATCCTCAATAGCGCTGGCATACTTGATCAGCTTGTCCTCGCCAAAGGCAGTCTGCAGGATAGCCAGGCCAAAGGGCATGCCCGAGTCGGAGTGGACGCCGGCAGGGATGGTGATAGCAGGGTAGCCGGCCTGGGCGGGGATCTGGATGCTCTGGGCAACATCGGGAGGAACAAGGAGACCGTCAAGCTTCTTGCCCTTGTAGGTGAGGGCATCGTTGATTCCGTTGCGGGTGGACGACTGGCAGAACTCGAGGGCCTGGAAGTACGTCTCGTCCTGGATGCCCTTGGTCTCGAGGGAGGCGAGGAAGCCGTCCTGGCCGGACCAGAAGGCGGGGGTGCCGTCGGGCATGGGGACGCCGCCCTCGGAGCCGGGGTACTTGTTGTTGTACTCGACAATGTCCTCGAGAGAGCGCATGTTGGTGTTGGTGAGCTCGGACAGGTACGACTTGATGTTGTTGTAAAAGTCGACCTTGATGTAGGTGTACTCGGACTCGTTGGGGAAGCCTCGGGTGGTGCCGTAGTCCCAGTTCCAGCCGTCGGGGCTGACAATGGTCTGGTAGTCGGTGATTTCGGTGTTGTTGATGATGGTGGCGCCGGCAGACTCGATGAGCTTCAGGATGCTGGTCAAGATCTGCTGCTGCTCGGGATCGGCGTAGACCCAGAAGCTGTTCCAGGGGACACCGAATGTGGCGCCCTTGAGAGCAGTGCGGTTGGACAGGAACTGGGCATATCCGCCCTTGGGGGTGAGGCCCTGCTGGGCGAGGGTGTAGTTGTCTCGGGGGTCGACGCCGTAGATGGCGTCCAGGGCATAGGTCGCGTCACGGACAGTGCGTCCAAAGGTGCCAACGGAGTCCTGGTGCTCGGACTCGGGGATGACGCCGGCGCGGGACGTCAGACCGACGGTGGGCTTGATGCCGACGATGGCGTTGCGCTGGGCAGGGTTGATGACTTGTCAAGGTGTCAGCAAACAGCGAGGCTCATTCTCATAGCGTTGGCTTTTCAATCTCTTCTTCTTCAACTCACCACTTCCATCAGTCTCGGTTCCCAGGGCAAAGGCAATGACGTTGGCCGCAACACCAACTCCGCTGCCGGAGCTGCTGCCGCCGGGGTTGACGGTCAAGTTGTAGGCGCTGCGGCACTGGCCACCGCGGCCGGAGTAGCCCTCGGAGTAGTTGTTGCTTCGCATGTCCGCCCACTCGCTGAGAGCGGCCTTGCCGAACAGAACGGCGCCGGCATCGCGCAGCTTTTTGACAACAAAAGCATCACGGGGGACGATGCTGCCGAGCAGAGCCCAGCTGCCGGCGCAGGTGTCGAGGTTGTCCTTGGAGGCGATGTTGTCCTTGACGATAAAGGGGATGCCGTGCAGAGGGCCCCGGACCTTGCCAGCCTTGCGCTCAGCATCTCGCTGGGAGGCAATGGCGAAGACGTCGGGGTTGATCTGAATGATGGCACTGGAGAGGGAGATTAGTCATGATGTTATCTGGGAAGGGAAGAGGCTGTGATGTGCCATAAGAAAAAGGGGGGGGGGGGGGGAGTTGATAGCCTGTCGATGGGGGCACACCACGGGTCCAAGCGAAGCTGAGCCAAGCAGACGCCCAGCCCAGCCCACCCCGGAACACATTGGGATCGACCCGAGTATATTACAAGATCGATCGATTGAATGACGGAGATGGACACGATATAAATGACATGAGCTGACTGGTCACTTACTTGAGGTACTGCTGCGTCTGGAACTGGCGCGTCAGGTAGCAGCTGACCAGCTGGACCGAGGTCAGGTTTCCCTTGGCCATGGCGGCCTGCATCTGGTCGATGGTGGCCTCGTGCAGCTTGAAGCCGAAGCAGTCGGCCATGGGGAACAGGTCGTCCGAGCCGGCGTTTTGCTGCAGCGGGATCAGGTTGGGCGTCATAGGGAAGACCTGCGAGACGTCCAGCGCCGCTGCGGCGCCGACAAAGGCCGCCCAGGCGAATTGAGACCGCATGGCTGAAGGATGGTGGGAGGTTTCGAGATATCACGAGGATGATATCAAAAGGGGAGGAAGGGGGTGAGAAGGGAAGAAGGAGGGAAGAGGTGAGGGATAGAAAGACGAAGCGGCAAGACAACAGAGAGCGCTCGCAAGGGTATAAATGAGAAACAAAACAATCCGCAGACGAACGAGGTTGTTCGCGCAACTAGGAGTGGTCCATGTAGTATGTAATAGAGTGTCCCGCGACTAGGACCAGATACCAAGCATGGCGGACCAGGAACAGGCAGGTAATCAATTGCGGATATCGAGCAGCCAATTCATGGCCAAAACTAGCATAGAACAACAGCCGCAGGAAAAAAACAGACCGCTCCGACTGATGGGAGAAACTCGCCCTCGTACAGTAACAGCAGCAGCAGCAGCAGCAGCAGCAGCAGCAGAAGGGAGTGATCGGGTAGACGGCTGCGGCGGACCTTGGCTTCGCGCTCTAGTGCAGGGCGGGAAATGGAGCAGATGGAGCCTCAATTACAGCATCACATAACCTAAGAAAGCAACAGACCGCTTGAGAGACATGCTGGGGCGAACCCGGCAAGACTGGGAGGGCTCAGGTGCCATTCCAAGGGCTGGAGTCCCTGCCAACCTGCGAATTTTCCGCGGCTTTCAGGCCCCCCCCATCAAATTCCTCAGTCTTCCATCGCCTCTCGCCTCACCAGCCTCTTCCCGACAGCAGCTTCAGCGCGTCCTCCACTGCGTTAGCGAACGCTCCAGGGGACCTGGGTGACTTAGCAGGGGGGGCCCTCCCAAGCTGGCCACGCAGCAGATGGAGTAGCTCAGCCCGCTAAATGAACTTGTGTCACCGGAAGGGACTCCAGAACATCAGGAGAGCTGCATCCAATCACGCAATGAGTCGTCGACGACAATATGGGAAAGGTGCTTCATAAGTAGTTGAGGGCTTTATTACACGAGTACTAGCTAAGAAGGAAATAAAAGCGCTGGCCTAGCAATATGCCTTGACAGGCACTAACAACCTACACCATGTCTGGGCTGTAAGTCAAATGAAGCTGCAGGATGAAATCGACGTGCCTTTTGAACTTGAGTGTACAAAAATGAGAGAGCGAGAAATATTCAGAGCAGAAAGCCCCCAGTAATACAGTACGGATAGTCGAGTGAACACGGCACGTATCAAAAGCGGGAGGCAAGACCTTGAATCAGATAACAAGCCGTGTCATGATTCAACACAAAGCCTTGCGCCTCCAGATCCAACTTGCAAAAACAAAGGACGACAGCAGAAAGTGAAAAGGGAGAGGAAGAAAACAACTCTGCTTCGTGTGAGGGGACCTTTCCTCATAGAGTCTTCGAACACGAAAGACCAAAATGGTTGGGCGCTCCATGTGGGCATGTCTTGAGCCTCCGGTTTAGCCGGCGCAAAAGACAACTGAATCCGCGGATAGAACCAATAAACAATACCCAGCCTTGCCAGCCATGAACAGTTGAGGTCGTAAAATGCAGCTACAGTCATGCATTCATGACATTGGCATCTCTGTTCGTGGCTTGCACTGAAGAAGCAACCCCATAGTTGATGCCTATCGTATGATAGTTTGAGGTAGGCATATAGGAGGGTCACGATGGATATATGGAGGGCGCGCCGAAATGCAAGGTACGACGGCGGGCGTCCGGAGGGTGTCACGGCATCCATCATCCGGCATGGACTCGGAGCCGAGGGCATATCGCGGCTCTCCCCCAATATGATGCTTGTACATACAAAGTCAACAATTCTGAGTCGAGACTCCGTTCAGCCCTTGCAGCACAGTCCATCTACTCGTTCATCCAGACACGCATATGGCTTCGACTTCGTCTACCATGCCAACTTCGGTTTGATAGCCTCATCTCACTGATCATCATCACCAGCAACCCACCAGAACCCTTCGTAGAACCTTCTCCCTCTCACTCCGCAACCCTCCTATTCACTCCCCCCATCCTCCTGCAGACAGCCCGCAGAACAGCTCAGGACAGGCGGGGCCCCTTCATGCATGTGCAGGCATACCGTACCGACTGACTCGAGGCCCACGTGGAGTCTGGTCCCTCTGCCACCTTTTCCGTCACTGCTTGTACCTACTTACAGTAGGACCCCCGTCAAGAGGAGTTGTTGCATGGCTCTTTTGCGCCCTCTGGTTCGTTCGTTCAGCTTCCACGCCGTATCGACTTAGTAGTTGACAGCTCTCGCATAATATCCTGACTCTGTAAACTGGAGACCATCACAGACAGCGTCGACTCCTGATCAATGTCTTATTGCGCCAATGTCTATGACAGAAGCCTTGTTTGCAACAAGGAAGAACCAGAGAAGAAAAAGAAGAAAAAAAGAAAAGGAAAAAAAAGGCCAACGCATTCATCCGCCCTCCAATTTGCAAACCCTTGGATATCGTAAACATCAGAGGTCTATGACAAGACGCAACAATCGCCGCCCAAACAACCATATACAGACAAAAACATATACATCAGAAAAACATCACCCCTTTGTCCCTTCCCTCACCGGCTATCCAGACTCGGCGTCGTAGTGTTCGTATTCACCCGAGCCTCCTTCAGCTCAAAGTCCATCTGCACGTAAATGCCCTCCGCGTCGTTGGCATGCCTGCTGCCAGCACTGGCCACCGCCTCGGGGCCGTACTTTTGTCCTTCCTCTTCCTGGCTCCCCAGGATGCTGTTCTGGCTGCCCGAGCGAAACCGCATCGTGCTGAGCGCAGTCCCTCGTGACCGAAAACTGCTGTTCCTGCGGCCATAGTGGGACGCGCCGCTGGTCTGGCTGTCGTCCTTCTTGAAGAATATCTTGTCAAAGAGCGGCTTGGCTCCCGGCACGGACAGGGCGATCAACGTCGCTCCAATCTCCGATGCCTCCACGCCCAGCATGGGGTCGTATGACCACGACTCGTCACTCTCCCACTGGCCCATGATGACGAGAACAAGTCGAGTGATGGAAATGGCAATGACCCTGGGATCAAAGAGTCAGTGGTTTGCTGTTCGGGAAAAGGGGGGTCAAGTTCCAAAGGGGCGGACTTACGCAACACCGGGCAACAGGATACCGGCCAACTGAATCTTTCGCTTCCGGGACATCTCCAGCGTACGCAGCATGGCAATGGGAATACCAAACAGAAGCAGGTCGCAGAGTAGCGAAACAGACGAGTTGACGCTGTACACCACACCCCACTGCAGACAAGTGTATCGGGGGGCCACAGGCTCCCATCCGTACGGCCAGTAGCCCGTGACTGGCTTGCAGTGGAAGATGAGCAGGAAGATCTGGGGCAGAAACCCGGCGATGAGGATCCCAAACACGACCTTGATGGCCAGCTGGAAGTGGTTATGCTGCCCGCAGACTCTCTGATAGAACGCGAGACCCGAAACGCGGCACAGGAGCAAGGCTGTGGTGTAGATGATGTGCGCGACAAAATCGAGTACTTGGGTCTGCAGGACCGTGGGGACGTCCATGATGTATTCGATAAAGGCGAAATGTCTCCCGGAACCCAAGTTGATCAACTCAATGCTCAGTCCAACAAAGCATATCAGCAGAGCCTGCAAGCACAGCCGAAGCATGTCAGCATCGCTCGGTAACACGACATTTCGATATTCTCTCAGAACCTACCAATGACAAGGAAGCCAATGCATCGTCCAGACCGAAGCGCCGTACGATACATGTTCGCGATACAAGTCGTGTACAGACGACGGCAGCCGTCAAGGCTGTGACGAAGACGATGCCGACAATCGACGGGCCATCGCGAGACTCGCTCAGGTATTCGGCTGTAATATCTGGCGGAACGGTGCCGTTGGCGATGGCCTGCTGGATGCGGGAGTCCACCATTGTCCCGAGACGGACGGCTTAAATGCCTGTCTGACGTTGGCCGTTGCTGTTGGTCTGCTGGCCCGGACCACCGGTAAACTTGTGCGTGACAACACGGGGGACAAGTCCCTTACATGCAGACTGTCATCCACAACGGAGCGGCAAGACTGCCGAAAAAGAAAGGAAGCAGTGAATCTTTTGCAAGAGATCGATGCAAGGCAGCGTGAGTGGCGAGGGCCCTACATGTTCAAGTAATCGAGCAAGGAGCAACTCATGGATTGTGCCGGGAGAGTTCTCCGCCCCATCGATGCCCACCCACAAAATTCTCTGCATCAAGAGCATCTCGCACTGCCGCTCGAGCCAGGATCATGCTGGGACAGAGACTCGGCCGAGGAAGGGCTCGATTTGAGAAACTCGATGGAAGGGGGGGTGTGGCTGCCCGACCTCCAACGGCCTTTGACCTCGTCTGAATCGGCGTAAACCCGCGGACGAACTGTATGTACCTAGTATTACGGCCAGCCTCTGAGACTACTACTAGTAGCATCAAAAAGACGGCTGGAAAGGCCACCAGAGAGGGGGGGAAGAATGCTGCTGGTGTCCACTGTAACGAAATTTCCCATTTGCACCCTTCTTTGCTGTGGTATGTGCCCTTTACTTGATCCGGCTCATGTCGACATTAGTCCTGTCAACGGCCGCCGGTGGAGCGTCGCAGCCAGTGTCTAGCAAGACGCACAGGGGGGTTGCAGATTTGCAAAACCCGGCCGGCTGGGACACGCCATCAAGGAAGCCGATAGGATACCCGGAGGACCGTCCCTTGTCTAGAGGCGAATCAAAGGCAGCACAAGACGCCACCTGCTAATCGGCGTCGTTTAGATGCTTCAGCAGCCCGTATCGACCTTGTTTTGGTGGATTCGGTTTGTTGAAGAAATTCTCTTTGATGCCCATCTCCTTTGGCGGCGAGTGACCGAAGGCGTTCGTTCGTCTTCAGGTTCCCACGGTGTAAGCGAGCCCCGGACAGCAGCATGTGCTCTCCACGCCGGCATCGTTCCTTGCACGGCAGCGAGGGACGAAACGCCGCGCGGCAACTTCCGAGAGTGCCGCCCGTCTGAGGTGAGATGATGCTGTTGATCAAAGTCGCTTGCTGCTGTCAACCCGGCCTGTCAGCGAGTCGTCCGGCAAGCATAACTCCTCATCCACAAGCAAGCAAGGATGGCCGGCTGAGGGGTTGCCAGGGAGTGCATGTCTTGTTCGACGACAGACGTAGTAGCCGCATTTGGCCTCGGGGAGGACTGATAGACGCGGAAAGGAGGCCGGTTTGTAGAGCATGACGCGGGTAGTCGAGCCGTCGATAGTCTCTCTGCCCTGTCTTGCCGGCCCTGAGCATCACCACCAGCGGCTCGATTATTAGCCTGCGCCTTTTTTCCTCCCCTTTCTGTCGTGATGGGGCAGCCATGATGCCTACTCTATAAAACTCAGTTCTCGACCATTCTTAGTCCTTCAAGTTCAGCTTTCGCGTCAATGCGCTGCAGGACGAGTAAGAAGCCAAAAACCCCCTTGACAAGATTCGGGTCCTGTCAATCAAACTACCATCATGCCATCTGCAAGATAATGGATCCCTCTGCTTGGACCAAGGCATGGCAACAAGGGTCGCGGAAACGAGAGACGAAAGGGACAAACGACTCCCGTTCATGCAGACATTTAGCCTGGGGGGGCCATCAGATTCTCCTCCCTAAACAGGCTCAGCGCACGCCACATGTGAACGGGCTTGGTTCATACTGTTAGTACCTCACTTTGTCCTCTAGCGAGGCACGAGAAGTCCACAGTTGCCCCCATTTCGGCCAAGGGGGGGAGCAGTGCAGAAGCTTCAAACGCTGCTGAAGCCATCGTGCTCCTTCTGCCTGGCCTTGCTTGACGAAAACTTGATGATGGCTTCACAGGCCCTGTGAGCGCCGCACAACCCCTGGCGACTGGCGACAGCTGAGTCGGTGGTGGAAGAACTATCGATTTTCCCCTGCATGCTGCCAGGCGACAGCCATGCAATGCACTGGGTGGCATCAGACTCTCTTCATAGATCGAGGCCGGCACTCGTACTGTAATACTAGTACATTCCTCTGTATGCCCCTGGACTAAATTCCGGGCAGAGTCGCAGCAGTGCAACTGCAGTGGCCGCTGAGATGCCCAACTACCGGCTCCAGGAACCGCGAGTCCTTGCCGAACCGTGGGCGGTCTTACAGCGCACAGTTCCAGTGCCTTTGACTGGCAACAGCTTGATACCGTAGCCTCACCGGCAGCCCATTTTTGCATCACAAGTACTGTGCACTCTGAAAGACTGTGTTTGCTTTCGTCACTCGCTCCCGGGCGATCCATCTACCACCACCGGCCAGATGGAGTCCCGCTGATGATCGAGCCCTCTGGACCAGCTGGACGCGAGTCAGTGGACGGCCCTCTCTGCCCTCCTCCTGTGCAGGGCCGGGCCACTTGACAGCGTCGGTCCGCCCACCGGTATGATCAACCCGCAGGAGACGGACGGCAGCAGTCCGGCTGCTGATTCATTCAGGTCCCGAGCCCGTCCTGTCCAGCTGTGGCTTCTGGACTTGGACGACTCGGGCTAATGAAAGCGGAGAGGCGATGCGAGCGGTTTGTCAAGGTCAGAATGGAAAATTGGCGAGGCTTCCAGCTTCTAGGTTCACGGCGCTTTAGGTAATAGTAAGACGAAGATTTAGTTCGAGTAGCCAACACCAGCCTCACTGGACAAGGAAACTCCATCAACAAGCACCGCGATTGCCTCCGTGTAGGCCGATGCAAAGCACACCTGTCCATGGATGCAGCCTTCAGGCGAGCCTTAGCCAGACGCGGCCTAGAGGACCGCTAATTAGCAGCAGCGTCTCCATTACCTTCAAGGTTCCCATTACTGTCCATATCCACCTCAGCTGTCATGGAGATTCAACATTACACGACGCTCCCTCCAAGCTTGGGCCCAGGACTGTCGAAATCAGTTCGATGTAAGTGTATGTCCGAACTTCATCTGTGCTGTTTCTGAGCTCAGATCGACCTCGTGACAAGCTTGAAAGCCGCGACCAACGCCTCCTTTGTTTCTTCCTTTGCCGCTGCCATTAGGTAGTCTCGTCTCCATGTGCAACTGATGCCCTCCACAAGGCTCATCCGGACCATCAGCAATAGCCCCCGAGACTTCAACTCCCCTTTCTTGCGAGCCCGAGCACCTCGATGAACAGGCACCAGACAGTTACCCAGTTGCCCCGGCACTGTGACGATGTTACCACCTGAGTTCGGACGTAAGCAAGTATGATATTAGCCAGGAAACCGAGCCTCTCTCTACCTCACGAGTAACAATCGCGATCTCCCTCATCCCACCCGCCCTCCGTCTGACAATCTACCTTACCTTATCGCTCTAAGCCCGGGCCTCCAACTCGTCTCTTAGCATAATATCCTCTAGGTCAAACAAGGGACAATCTTTCGGTGGCCACACACGCCTTCAGATCGCAACAACAACTGGCGATTCATTATCCCTGGAGGGAGCTTTCCCAGGACAAGTACAGCAGGGCCCAGCCTACCGTCATGAATCCCGCCATCCTGCACGATGTGAAAAAAGTGCTATTGAGGTAAAGCCGCAAAGCAGCTAAGCAGCAGCCACTGCTGCACAAACATGCTGCTTCAAAATCCGCCCTCGGCACTCCATCCCGATCTTGAAAGTGATGTTCTCGCGCTTGCCCTTCGACTTGGTTGCATTGCCGGGACCCAATCTCCGACAGGATGCCCAGCAGCCTACAAGTACATAATAAGCAAAGCCTCCTGCAGGCCGCCAAACAGCAGTACTATTGGTAGGAATTGGCTGCTCTGCCTTGCCGAATGCAGTGTGTGTCAATAAGAGCTTTCATGCAGACATCTCCTCTTTCAAACCGTGACCCCGGGGAAACGACCTAGTATTGAAGACGTTCTGATTCATGTCAGGAGAAGGTTGCAACACTGGAAAGATTGTGGCTTGCTTCAGAATGAGAGTCAGTGCTAACAAACTTGTCCTCCAATACGACACCCCCCGACAGCTTGCTAAGCATTTAGCCGCTGGTCTCAGCTGTATGGTTTCTCTCAAAAGCCCCTTTCTTCCTTTCTAACGCAGTTCAGTGTGCGATGCTTGTTTAACCGTTTTACCAGCGGCAATAATCCTACCTCAATTCTGTAGTGATAGTCACAATCAAATGCATGAAATCAATGGGTGGAAGTAGGAAGGAACGAGGACTAGGCCCATGTTCAAGACATCATCTTCTCCTCCAAATGATTCTGAAACTCATCCCCCCAAGCCGGCAACAAGACGCGACGTTGCGTGAGATTCGCCTCGTTGCAGGGCTTCGTTTCGGCTGCTGCATCGTCTCGAACCAGCTCATGAATCTCGTCCGATCTTGAGGCGCTCTTTCTACTAACAGTCATCCCTCCCTGGAACTTTCACGGATGATCATTGTGATCCATTGTCCCGTTCTACTATATCGGACTCCATAGCAGATCACATATCTCTAAGACACCTATCGTTATAGCCGCATGAGCAAGAAGCTCCTAGGATCAATACACTGTCCGTCTGCATGCATTTATACCAATGACTAGTCGGAACTGTGGCCACACTGAACAAGGAGTCAGGATCTGTATATGCCAGGGTAAGCGGAGGCGATAGAATGTTACGAGTCAATGTCGTAGTATTGGAGCCAAGGACTGAGTAAGTCCCGGCAGGATTCTAAGACGGCTATGAAAAATCTATACGTGGAGGAAAATGGAGCAAAGCTCCCCGAGTTGACGCCGCCAGTGCAGCCTGTGGCTCAGACTCGACGAATGCAAGATACAAATGACTTTGTTGCTAGAGCCATATGGATAGAGATAGAGGTATGGAGGGAAGAGGGTGCTCAATACTGCAATTCAAGCACCAACTTGCGTTTGGTTCTTTCAAACTCACTGCTTTGCAGCCTTCTTTCCCCACGGGAAACGGATGTTGAAGCTGCTGGTATTCCATTTCCTGACCCGGAAGAGATAATATAGGGTAATCGCAGTGCAGATGTTGAAGACAATGTACGCCCAAACAATTCCGTAGTTGCGCCATCGGTCTGCCCAAAAGATCTCTGAGCCGGCAAGATACTGGTCTGCGTTGCTGAGCTGACAATAGCGGCATTGGTCGGTCGACGAGGGATTCTGCAGCTGTCCTGGTGCTTGTTGGAGGAACGGCGCCAGGTACTCGCCACAGGTCTGGCCGCTGGGTGGATTGAAGATGGACAGCTCGCTCTCGGAACACACAATTGGTCGCCCGTGAAGCTCTGTCGCAACAATACCTGCGACCCAGTAGGTGAATACTGAAACTCGCCACATGAATATCCAGAAACCCGGTAGTGCACTGGGTGTCTGCAAAACTCCGTTGAAGAGAGTGCTCATCAGCACCAAGAAAGTCACAATGCTGGAGGCTGTCTGTGCGTCTGGCATGGCGACAATGATCATGTGGGCAAACGAGCTTGCAAAGATGAAGAGCTGGATGATGAAGAGCAGAACAAGAATCTGTCGGATAGAGCTCTGGATGCCGACAACGGGGTAGTAGAAGCAGGCAAAGACGAGGATGCCCATGATGATCTGATAAGGAATCTCGACGAAGACGTTGGCAAGGATGAAGGCTTTCCACGAGTAAGCTTTGCTTGGGCGTTCACGGACTTCGTAAAGGGATCTTTGGGTGACAAAAAGAGGTTGGATCTGAAGAGGGCTTCGTCAGTTTGGGACTCGAGGTGGTTGGCTCCGCAAGGTATCTTACCTGCTGCACAATGGTAGAGAAGATGGTCGTCACCATGAATACGGAAAAGATGACGTTCTGCATGCCCGCCAATGACGAATTGGCGTCGAAGAATGAAAAGCCGATAAACAATCCAGCAGCAGTGCCTAGCATGAACTTGGCAAATATGTAACTGGGCAAGCGCCAATACTGCTGGAAGATGCGATACGTGACCTCCCAGAGCTGGGTTGCAAAAGGTGTAGCAAACTCTGAGTGGGAAGCATCGTCTTCCGAACCAGGGCTCTCGGCTAGCCTTTCCTCGTGAAGACGATCGAGCTCTCTTTGGACGTCCTGATATTCCGAGCTTGCTTTCCATACCGAGTGCCAGTCCTCTCCCTTGTCGTTGACACCGTTGTTGACAATTTCTAGCATGTACTCGGCTGGGTTCTCCTCATCGCCACATCTTCTAGCTCCATGCTCCTCAAAGTAGTCCAGAAGCGTATGAGAGTTGTCACCAATGTTGCCAAAGTACACCGTCTTTCCGCCCTTTGCCAGGAAGAGCAGGCGGTCAAATGTCTGGAAGAGAATAGCACTTGGCTGATGAACGGTGCATAGGATTGCCTGGCCAGAATCGGCAAGCTTGCGAAGAAACGAGCAAATAGCCCACGAGCTCTGAGAATCGAGGCCGCTGGTTGGCTCGTCGAGGAAAAGGAGTAGCTTGGGCTTGGCTGCCAGCTCGACTCCGATGGTAAGAAGCTTTCGCTGTTCAACGTTCAGACCTTCGCCGGGAACACCGACAACTGCATTGGCAAATTCTTCCATGTTGAGCATCTTGATGACTTCTTCCACGAAGGCATATTTCTCTTCCTTGCTGACCGACTTGGGTTGGCGCAGCATGGCACTGAATCGCAAGCTCTCGCGGACGGTGGCGGTTTCGAGATGTAAATCTACCATCCTGTTTTTAGCATGCACCCATAGAAGCGATTGGGATATTGTCTTCATTCATACCTTGCTGCTGGACATAGCCTGTCTTCCTCTGAAAGCTGAGGTCTCGTGGCCTACCGTTCACAAGCATGTCGCCCGTAATGACGCCCATGGTGGTTCGCTGGGCCAACACGTCCAAAAGGGTCGTCTTTCCTGCACCACTGACACCCATCAGCGCGGTCAATGTGCCCGGCTTGACCCAGCCAGAGACATGATCCAGAAGCCGGCGGTCTTCGCCTTTGATCTTGATATCGTAAACAACGTTTCGCCAGGTGAATATGTCCCGCTGAGGCTCAAGTCCTTTCACATTGGAGCTGGTGTTGGAATTTCCATGTAAGCCTTTCTCGTCAGTCCCGTCTGCTGTCCTGGCCGGACCGCTTTCGCCCTTCAAAATATGGGTAGGAACATGACCGCGTCGGTACACAAGGGCCTCGGCGGTACTTGTTGTCGATGAGTTCAACTCCGTCGCAATGAAATAGATCGCCATGAAGAAGATGAGAAAGCCCAGCAAGATACCAAAATTTCGCCAAACATGGGAGTAATAATACTCGTAGTTGGTGGCAATAAAGGCATCGCCGCTGACAGTAACGTTACCAGGAACAGCGCCCGGGACTGGACAGATCCAAGAATTGCCAACACTCGGGCTATACGGAGGCACAAAGCTGCCACCGCAAGGGAAGTCTTGACCGTGGAACTCGTTGGCGACGAGGATCTCGAAAGCGTAGAAAATGGGATTGATCCACCTTATCCAGCTAAACCAGGGGTGCATGGATGGCACGGTGATGGTGAAGCCAGTATAAATGACAAGGGCAAGAACCAAGATTCCAGCGAGCGACATGGCCTGAGAGACTGTCCTGGTAATTGCGGCCATTGTCCTGAATATGGCACTCATGACGAAAATGGATATGTAGCCGATGAGATAGTAGATGAAGAACTGTGAAGGTTCTCTTCTCAGGCCAGCCATGAAATAGAGGATGATATTGAAAACTGTCGACGTTATGAACTTGATGGGGATATCGGCAGCGATGCCCGCGGCGGCCTCGGTGGCTGGATGGTAAAAGGCGTACGAGGCATGCTTCTCGACAATGGGCCGTTGCGCATACAGATTGTTGATCTCGGATATCGCAGTCAATGCATTGAGAAGAATGGCTACGAACAAGACCGAGCCTTTGGCGTAGAAGCCATCTGTTGTGTTGGGAGTGCCGTAGAAGATGGAACCAATAATAAGAGCCATGACGATCTGAACCACTGTGGATGCCATCGTTGCCGATTTGTTATTCCATATGCGCTGGTAGGCACGTTTTGTGTTGAACCTGATCTGCATGGGGATGCTGATGATGTATGGAGACTTGGGCCTCATGTTCTTGGCCTGCCGGAAATTCTTCTGCTGGCGGAAACGCGCGAGATTCTCTTCCTGGCGCTCACCGCCGAATTCTTCCTCGTATTGATCGAGATCTTTCTGCAGAGCCTCGAATTCAGGAGACTGCAGCCACATTCGTTCGAAATCTTGCGGAGTCCGAGGCACCTTTAACTCCATTCCCGGGCGAGGCTGGCGCTCCACGGGATTGGTAACTGAAGTCAAGAAGTCACCGGTTGTTTGGCGCGGGGGGCAGTACCAACCCTGCCTCTCGAAGTATGCCTTTGCTTTGTCTGCCGGTCCAAAGTAGATCTGACGGCCCTCATATAGAACTGTCGCCTTGTCGAAAAGATCGTAGATGGCTTGACTGGCCTGGTAAATGGCAACGGCATTTGCGTGGTTGCCCAGATCGGCGGACGTTCGGAGCGCTTTGACGAACTTGAAAGCTGTTGCAGAGTCGAGACCTCGAGTACTAATCAGCGTTAGAGATGTGCCACAAGTAGGTAGTTGTACAGAGGGACAAACCTGTTGTCCCAGGAAGAAAATGGCGAGCCGGCCAGGACCATTTCGGCGATGCTCACACGCTTTCTTTCGCCTCCTGACACTCCGCGAATAAAGTCGTCGCCGACTTTGGTGTTGTACGTGTGGGTAAGGCCGAACACTGCCATGACGACCTTGGCGATGTAGCGACAGTATTCGCTGCGAGGCATGTCGTGGACACGGTGGGATGGTGTTCGAACTGAAGCCGCGAATTCAAGAGTTTGGCCGACTGTGAGGTGAGGAAAGTGTTTGTCGACCTACGTATCGATTTAGCTGACAATCAGGGGAAGAAGAGAGGAAGTTCTGGCGTCGAATTTCCGTCCTCTCGCGACACAGACAAGCAGCGTACCTCTTGGTTATAGATGGCTTCACCTCTGAATTCCTTCTTCATCTGCTTCTGCGGGATACCATTGTAGCTTATGTTTGAACTTTCACCAAGGTTGAGGCCTTGCAGCTCGCCGCAAATGGACTTGAGGAGCGTGCTGCAGCCAGAGCCCGGGCGGCCAAGCACGACCAAGAGCTCTCCGCTTTTCACCAGCCCGTTGAAACTGTGAAGAATCTGTTTTGGCTCCTTTTTGCCGAAGGTGAAGAATTCTCCAATTCTGAGAGGTGAAGTGAGAACGGAGCCCACAGTTTCTTGAAGCTGGATCGCACTGCCGGTACCGAACACGTCGAGGTTGCGGAATGAGACACCGATTTGACGCTCTGCGAGACCCTTTTCGCCAAGTTCGCGTATGAATCGAAGCAGCCATTTCGAAAGATCGAATTCGCGCCGGTCAGGGTCGAGAGTGGCGTCATACTCGTCGAGCGTACCAAGTCCCACCGACTGTTGACGAGACGGAGCAGCAACGTGAGACTGGCGACGAGAGAGGGCCGTTGCAATACGTTTGAGCTCCGTCCTGTCGTCCTGCTCCATGACCTCGCCATCTTCATCGTATGTGTTGGCGCGACTCAATGCTGAAGGAAACGTACTGGCGTCATTGTCGGAATCCCGAGAGTGTGTCTCCCGAGGGCTGCTTTCGGTTGGAGACGCTCCCCTTTCATTCTCATCCTGGACGGCAGAGAATGGGTGGCTTTGCTGCGTTGTTATAATGTCGGCCTCCCTTCCAGGCTCCTTTGGGTCTTCGTGAAAGGCCATTGCTGCTTGAAGAATGACCTACCATGAAGTACGAAACTCCCTTGAATCGGAAGGGGACCATACTTATACAAGCAGTCAATCGATGACATACCAACCACACCATAGATTGACACAGCATTGGAGTGGTCCGGAGCCGGGCTACCGGAGTAGACCATGCCTAAGGCCGGTAGCTAGCCAAACCTTGTACGGAGTTGATTGCTTTGCATAGCCAGCGGCGGGCTTTTGATGGCGTGCGTATTCCCCATGTTGCCAAAAGCCACATGAGACCAGACACGCCTCGAGACTGCAGACACGAAGCTGAAGCCCTTTGGTGGAGACGGCAACACAGATCGTCGGGTTGCGGACTCTGACTGAACCCGCCGTGCCGTGCCCGGCGAATTCCCGAGAGTGACGGAGGTTTGTGAGGGGCTGACTCCGATGGCCGCGGAACCGGAGCAGGGGATGACATGGCCATCCGTTCTCATTTGCTTCACCCGCATCTTCTAGAAGCCGAGCGCAAATCCTGCTTTGTGAAACCGTACACAAATAGCAGAACCATCGTCTCATCGTCTCATCTCTCTTCTCATCACACTGGAATTTGAAGGACAGCATGGTCCCAAAGTCAATCTCTGGCTAGTGCGTAGCCACACTAAATGACCTTCACACGCCGATGAATAAAGCCCAGCCCAGCTGAAGGAGTAGAACTTGCAGCTAGGCGATTTTCGGCGTCGTGGTCCAGTGGCTTTCGGGTATTAGGTAGTGCAGCAGATGGCGGCCAGCTCTATCTGGTCTTGTGCACATATTGTGCACTCACAACACAGCTGAGATCCTTGGGTTATGTGTCTTGAGATTGAGTTTAGCATGAGTGTGCCGGGATACTGGCAACGGATCAAAAAGCCCAGGATATAGATATACTGCGCCAAGATCGCTTCTCACAGTCTAATATTCCGACGACGGTCCCTGGCAATTACCTGTCGTGCCCCGGCATTTCATCTCTGGCTGTGGCTCAGTTACGCAAACGGTGGGTGCTGGTCACCGGACTCTGTCGATCTGCCCCAAGTGCCGACGCACCGGGTTTCTGGGCTCCGGCAGTTGAACAACTTGAGATGCAGCATCATCGTGGCAAATGTCGTCTTCTATACGGTGTATCAACTGGCAATTTCGGGGGGAGAAGAGAAGAAATGGAGGTTGTTGGTGAAGAGGTTAAGAGAGATACGTGACGAGCCAGAGTCACGTGTGCCCATGAGACCGCCTACTCGATCTGAGCAGCTTTACTGCCATTGCAACGTAGGTAGGTAGGTACAATCTCCCATTCTACTTCCTCTATCTTGATCAACTATTCAATACTAAAACAGTTCCTTATTGTCTCGTCTCCCAACAGTTGCATCAATGCATCATCTCAAGTTCTCAACTTCCCCCACGCACATGCAAATGTGGCGCCCTTACTAAGCGGAAGCTTCTCCTTACACAGCCCAACCAGGCGGGGCGATCGGGTTCGGAATACTGAGCCCCTCTTCAGCTGAGAAATTGCCCGAGACCCCGAATACCTAGGGATGATGACGATATTCAGGGCTTTGCGAGTACATCGTGTTGTGAGTACCGCAGCACTCTCTGACTGTTCTCCATAAAGGAGATGCAGGGGTCTTTAGCATAAAAGAGGTCTTGATGCAATAAAATTAATTAATTAACTAGCTAGTGAGTGTATGTATATAGAAGTAAAAGACTGGATCCCTATAGCCTTTACATAGCTTTTTATTAACCTTCCTTATAGTCACATAACTAACCTCTTTAAAAGGGGCTCTTAGCCTACTATTCTTACTATCCCCTTTATATATAAAGGAAAAAGAAAAATACAGCCCCTAGATATCTTTTATTAAATATAAAATAAAGATTTTAAAATAAATTATTAATCTTTTATCCTTTACTTAATTTTTAGCTTCCTTTATATTTATATTTAAAATTTTTATTAGCCTAACTCTTTTAAAGGTAGTTTAACTAATTTATTATACTAAAGGGTTATTAAAAGACTTTATAAAATATTAAAAAGTAACCTTTATAATATAAATTATTTTTTAAATTATAAATAATTAATAAATACTAAATAAGCCCTTATATTTATATAGTAATTTTATTAAATAGTAAATTAAAAAGGTAATAGCTTTATTCTTAATATAAATATAAGGTATATATTAGGTTTTTTATAAATAGTAGCTTTTTTTAACCTTAATGTCCTTTATTTTTATTATATACTTTAAGGTAATTAAAAGTTTTAGCAGATAGTTTTAAGGCTTAAGGTAAACCCTTTTAGCTAGCTTTTTTATAAGGTTTACTATATAATTAGTATTTTTTTACTTTTTTTTTATATAATCTTTTACTATAGCTTTTAAGTAATTTAAGGATTCTTTATATTTTATTCTTAATATAAACTATTTATAATACTAAATTATATATCTTTTTAAATTTATTCTTATCTAATCCTTAATTAAGGCCTTAAACTTTATTTTATATATATAAATTATAAGGGTAAAGATTAGTAAATTAAATATTCTAGTTTATGCTATAAGGATTAGTCCTTTTTTAAAAATAATTAATAAAATAGTTATACTTTATAATATTAATATTTTATTATTAGCTACTTTTAAAATATATTTAAGTATAGGCTAAATATATTATAAAATTAAAAAGTTATAATATATTTTTACTTTATTAATTTATTTTTAATAAATTAAGGGGTGTTATATTAATATTAGTAAAATATGCTTAAAAGTGTTTAATAAAAAATTATTCTTTATATTTTAATTCTTTTTTTTATTTACTTTTATTTTTTTATTTATTTTTATTTTACTATTTAGCTTTATTATAATATTAATAAGGTTTATAAAAGGTAGCTTTAGTAAGATAAGTATAATAGTTATAAAATTTATAATTATAAAGGTAAATATAATTTTATCTTCCTTTATAAAATCTTATAACTTTTATATAACTTTTACTACCTTTTTTATTTTTATTTTATAATTTTTTAAAAATACTATTAATAATTTTTACTTATAAACTAGCTAGAATACTTTTATAATAGAATATTTAATTAAAGTATAAGGTTATTTATATAAAGGTAGTCTTATTAATAAAACCTCTTTTAGGCTTACTAAAGTAATTTTTATATTTATAATATATAAGTATATAGGCCTATTTATTTTAAGTAGGCTTATTTTAAGGATTTAAAAAAGGGTTAGCAGCACTTTTATATAAATTATTATATTATTTATAGCAGCCTATATAGCTAATAAAGGGCATATTTTAACTTATATTAATAATACTATTACTATAAATTTTTTTATTAATAAGCTCTCCTTTTTAAAGTTTAATTTAAGCTTTTTAAGGTTAAGGTTTAAGGCTTTATAAATTTATTTAAAAAGGTAAATATATTCTACTAGCTATATTTATTTTATTTACTTAAGCTAGTAGTTAAAGTAAAGTAATATTTTTTATAATATTATATTAAGGATATTATTTTTAATTTTATTTATTTTATATTTTTTTAGCTAATCTCTTTTTTTATATAATCTTTTTTCTTTTTTTTTTTTATTATTTTTTTCCTTATTTTATATATATTTTATATAAGGCTTATTTATCTTATTTAGTAAAGCTATAATATTTACTTAAAGCTAGGTTATTAAAATAAGGTTTTTAAGTAAAAGTACTTTATATTTTATTTTATATATAAAGGCTTTTAGTATATTTAAGAGTTTTTTAAAATACTTTATTAAAATAAATAATAAAGCCTTATATATAAATCTAAAAGGCTTTATCTACTTTTTAATTAATATTATTATATTTAAGGCTAATAAGTCTTTTATAATTAATAGTTTTAAAAGACTTTTTATTATTAGATTATTTATAATAATTACTGCTTTTTATAAGTATACTTATAAATACTATATTTTAAGGATATCTTTTAAAGTATTATTAGCTAGGGCTTATTAAATTACTAAGTTATTAATAGTAGATATAATTAATATATATAAAATAAAGTAAAGTTTATACTTTTATTATTTTAAATGCTATTTTAAGTTAAAACCTTTAAAAAAAAGGCCTCTGCTATTACTATTACTTTTACCTTTAAGTTTATAAGTAAATACTAGTTTATATATTAAAGAGCTATATTTAAAATATATAGCTTTAATATAATATGTAAAATCTTAAGTTTTAAGATTAACTTTTAACTACAGTATTTTTTATTAGTTATTTAGTTTTTTATTTAGTAGAATGCCTTTTATTTATTATTAGGCACCCTTTAATAAAGACTTAGTATTTAATTATAAGTTTTTTACTAGTCTTTATATTAATTATATTTCTTAAAATTGTGCTATTTAGTATTCTTTTACTTTTACCTTTAAGTAAGCTTTTTTACTTTTTTAAGCTTAAATTAGTTATAGCCCTTTTTATTTATTTTATACTTTTTTAATATTAGCTATAAAAGCTATAACTTTTAAATATAAGTAATAAGTGTTAGTAATTAAGCAGTAAGTAATATAGTATATAATATTTATATAAATTATAAATATATAAAAGTAAGAATTAGAAGTCTTTCAGATCGTAATTTTAAAATAGAAATATACATTTTTCATAAGTAAATCATTCAGTAATATTCATTATCAAAAGTCCATCAACGTCCGGTCCGATCGTATTCGATAAGCGGATGGCCCATGAAGCCCCGCAGCGCGCCCACGCACTGTGGCGCGAGACGCCCCGTCCGCCTCACATTAGTCCTACTCGTCGCCGTTCACGCTGTAGAGACTCG